CTTATTTACTCTAGGCTCATTCTAGCGGGCAGTAAGGGTCGAGTCCCTATGGTAGGAATCAACTTTGCCATATTAACTGTAAGGGCCCATCGATGAAATCTTTTCTAGTGCCGGCTCTCAGAAAGCAGTAATCTTCAGAATTGAAAATGTCGTCGCATAGGTGCTTGTTTCCACGAAGAATTAAGGACTAGTTACAGCAAGGGTTTAATCGATATTTCACAGACTGATTCTGCGAGGATATATCATCTTAATCTAGGTACATTGATGGGATTATTGGTCAAGGAAATGTCGGAAATTATCGTCAGGGACTATTATGAGTACAATGAGCGGAAGAAATGGCTTGCGCAAACCTTTAACTTTGCGAGTTGAATAATCCTGACCTTCTAATCTAAGTTCTCTCACACAGGCATTCAAGACAAGATTAACCTTACCTTATTACTAACCTATATTTTGAGCTCTATTATCCCTCGTGTCTCTCAAAGATGGTGTATTCTACTCCACCCAAGCTTGCTTTAGCGCGAATTGAAAGTGTCTGTGGAGATCAGTAGGCACGGACTAGACTCGAAGGTTATATCAAGCCGACAGGCCTTGCTCCAAGGCTAGCTGTGGTAATCACTACGTCGCTGATCCACCCATATTCCCTCGTGTAATATGGGTGGAGAAACCTAGCGAAAGGCATAAGGTATTTAGATATGGCTGGGTTGTGGTTAAGATGATGTCGGGAGACGTTCAAGGACCTAAGGCGTTAGTTAAAGGTACAACAACTGTCGCTTATGAGAGCCGAGTTGAGGAACTCATGGCAATGATCGGGGCAGTGTCGCGAAACATACGCGGCCCATACAAACTAGCCATGAACGCAGCGACTGTTACTCACAATTGTCGAACCTTCACTCGCAGCTTCACGTTGGAGATCACCTAGACGTGCTGTCGGTAAAAAGTCATGACACGGAATATGGATGATAATATGGGCTATATCGTTGCGTTTCTGGGAGCCTATCTTCCCTCATCCGACAGTATCGACATCAATTACATTCACGCACTTCCGATCACTATTCAGACTTTCAGGTAGACAACAACCACAGTGACATTTGACTCCTACCCTCAGCTCTTGGCAATTCGTGACCTGAGCCCATAATGTATCTTGGCATGTCGAAGAACAATATCGGGCGTAAACGACAACTTGTTAATCGTCCAAAGGCAAAATAAAAAGCAACACCACTCGCAACATCCCAAGGGGCCGCTAGGTATGACGAGCAGACACGTATCTTGAAATGTAGACCGCCGCGTCTGTTTCGTGATTTCGCTCTCGTATAGATATTGTCCGAGTCTGGAGCCGAGGGACACGCGCACAATGGGACTCATTTGCACGATCTGCACGCAAGCTCGTTTGCATAACCACCGCCGACAGGCGTCATACACAGAGAGAGCTGAAATACATGGGACCCTTATTTAACGGCGAGGAATTGTACAGACGCATTCTCTAGAAATTACTTCCCATTATTGGCAAGAGAGGTCGCCGCATCGAGGCAACGGGAATACTCGTTGTGATGAAGTCGATATGGCTACTTAAATTTTTTTTCAAGGTCTACCTATCATTAGCTAAGGCTACAAGTCCATCTCTAAAGGTGCATGAAGACTGGCTAAATATGAACTACTTGAAGTGGGATTAAACTACTAAGAGAGAGGAGCAATGTAACTGTAAGTGATGGTCACTTGAATTTGATCTTTAACACCTAGATGACGAGTCAACCATATCGTTTCGCCATGGGGCTTGGCCGTTGAGCTCTGCTGAGTAGCAACTTATATCAGTTAAAGATTAGGATTTTACAGTGGTACCTAATCGCTTGGTACGAGGTAATAAGGGCCATTCTCCTCCCGGTGCTCCCGGCTCCGCTGAGGTCTCCACCTAAGCTAAACCAGGGTCAAATCATAATACGCCAAAATATCAAAGCTCGGTTGTGTCAGCTTAAAAGCCTGATAAAAGTAGAGCAAAGTCTAGGGCTTAAAAGGGACGTGAGCGTGCGATAAAATTTATCAAAGTAGCCTGCGTTCGTGATCTATGACCGGCCTGCACTGACATTCATTTCTGAGATTCAGCGAGTGGTAGCCCCAAGCTTTCCAGTGTTGCAATTATTTCCCTTCATGTCCGGATCCCTAACAAGAATGAGAACCGTCTGTTCTGTCTGTGAGCCGAGCCGGATCTGGCCAAAACCTCTCCCTTGTGCAGATAGGTCACTGATCAAAGGACGACGCTTCTTTGAGCAGTACGAAAGACTACGACACCACGAGTCAGGGCCGAGATGCCGCATTCCAACGAGTCAGGCCTCTCTCAATCTCTTTGGAAGCTGTCTCAAACGGAGAGACACATTCTAGATATTAGCTATCCAACATGCTGTAGAGGCTCTGCATGGGACACCGGCCTTCCCAACTATGATCACTTACATGACGGTGTGAGATTTTACGCTTGAGAGTATCTCCATACCTCTAGCAAATCACTATCTTTGGCGACGAGAAAATATAGCTGTTACGGGATTTAGTGCACAAACTTCTTCTATTCAGTCTAGGTGGCCCGTGTTTAGTGTTGATCTTAGGGCCTGCTAAGCCCGCCCCCCGTAGAATACCTATCTTTTGCAAATTCTCTTAATCCATATCGTAAAGTTATTCGTATAGGATCATTATTTTAGGGAATCAGGACTTCGAATATTTTGTTCGATCTTTCAGATTACGGTATCATTCAGTAATAGTAGCACTCGATTGGGCCGGGATTTTGGGCATAAGACATATATCTTCGAGACCGCTGGTTGCTTGACCCGCTGTCAGAATCGAGCTCAGCCCAGGAGGACAGGACTTACTAGGATATAGCTGCATAGACATGACTCTACAGCCTTGCAAGTCGTATATTGTGATCTATCAGGATATCCGGGAAAGATGGATATGTTCTTGAGAAATATTTAATGAAACTATCTCGTTTTGCATAGATGACCTCTTGGTAATGTAATGTGGAGTAAAATATTCAGGTGAAAGCATTAACTGCTTTTCCCGCGAGGTTTCTTCTGGTATATTTATCGATGAACTGCCAGGAAGCTCATGGATCAGGGGCAAGCGCTGGCGACACAATTTTATGAAGACCGTTGCCGGAAGTCTTGTCTTCACCGGTTAGGCTCTTCATGAGACACATGCGCTGGCGAATCTATTTCTGCTTAGACCGATAAACACCTCTCAGCGCGACCTCGACCTACTCACCGTTGAGGAGAAAGTTTGCCCGCACCGAAAATAAGTCCCGCAACTAGCCCGAATCAGACATGATTAATAGGAAAAGAGTTTCTATCTTCAGCATCAAGTCCACACGCTTCGAGCTACTCCAAGGCATGCCGGGATTGGGAAATAGAATCTCTTGCAAAGCCAGCTTATAGATCTCTACTGCCCAGCCACCCATCACCTGGCCTGAAGTAAAGAGGAGCTGGGCCATGTCTGTGTTTATCTCGAGGCGGCGCCCCTCACTCTAATCTACCACCGATTCCATGCGAGGATAATAGGTGGGATAAGGGTTGTCTGGCGCGGCGACTAGTCATGGTTGAGGGCAAAATAGTGTTTCATGCCTGTCTTGCATCTACTTCCATGGTTGACTTCGGCTCTGCGACATGCCAGCAGCTATTAGCTACGAGCTCTGGAAACTCAACGATAAATCTATTCGTTCATAACCCGGCTCACCTCATCTCTCATACGTCAATTACGACATCGAGACGGCTTCTCAACGCGACTTTACCATACTACAGTTTGTTTCAGAAAGCCGTAAGTGCTGGAAAATTATCTCTCGACTTTATCTCACGCCGAATTATTTGTGGGGGGTAGTTTATCTAGCCTGTCTCAACTCTAATCTGGGAGAAGTCAGAGTACGAGAAGATTCCGGATAGACTGGCATTCCGCCTCGGGCGTAACGCGATTTCAGACTCCGTGGTAATTTAGCCGCTACAACCGGAATAGGTAGTGTTCGAGGTAGTAGTGGTTGAAACCTCTATACTCCCCTTGGATTGCGCAATCACTTTTCGCGGCTCATATGCCTCTGTCGCGATGTGATGAAGCGTGGAGTTGCTTTCGACGCGTCTCGCAGGGGTCACCGTAGCGCGATCGCCCGTACCAGTAGGCCGGTCCGAGCTTACCCAGTTCCACGAGTCACGCATCAGGGCTACCTCACGAGTAGCCAAGGTATCATGTCTTCCATGTGCTGAATCCCCCGCCCTGACCAGCAGAGAAGGAACAAATCATCATAAATTATCGTCTATTTTAGCTTACCACGCTCGCAAGCGGAGCTAACTACTTTTTCGCAAGCATCTAGAGAAATGACTGCGTCGCGATGCTTCACTAGTGTCGGAATAGCCGGACCCGTCGGCCTAGTATGCGGAAACACCCGACCCGATCACTCGAGTTGCTTTACAAGGCGGCAGGGTTATCAAGATGTTCGTGTCTTTACCCCCATAATCCGAGATAACGAATATTTCAGGCGCGCCATCGGCCTTCCCGTCTAGCCGTACTCTATCAAGGTACCTAGTGGGGAGGGCTATAAATAAACACAGTCAAAGACACGAAGGATGAATCACCACGTATCGATCTTGCGCGTTACTACTAGGATCTAGCCATAAATGAGGTATCAAGCGCCATTTGCTTGCTGAATATGGGTCAGCCGAGGATAAATATTTGATCGAAACCAACCTCCGTCTAGCTCCTACACTATTCAGACCCTGCCACAGAACTGTATTTACTCTAGAAAGATCCTCTTTTTGTGACCCCTTGCCCCATACCTAAGGGAAATTATGCAAGAACTTGAATCTAGTCGGACAAGCCTACTAGCTCAAAATGAAAAGATATACTTTATCTAGCAGAAAGCAGGATAAGCGACCAGTGTTTGACTGCGAGTCCATAAAAGCGTATCTTTGTCCTTCCAGCTCCCGAAACAGGTCTCACATCTTTAAACATCTTGCCGTTCTACTGGCTTAGTCTAGATGCTCTTTCTACAACAGCCGCGAGGTGCCCGGCTATCTTTGGCTCAGATTGTGCTCGTGGTAGCGCCAGGCTTCATTCTATATGGCTACAATCAATCAAGTATTGGTGGACTTCTCTCGGTATGTTGAATGTCTCTTTACTTAAGCTTTCACTCACTAGAATCAGTTACCGTCTTGGACAGAGACTTTCCCGGAAATTGATACCACCCACACTCAGGGCGCCACCAAAAGCCAAAATGCAACTTTGCAGGGTTTGGTGGTTGCAACCTTTGTTATGGGCGCGCTAGTGGGTTGTATGGCGTGTATGTATTTGGGGGACATCTTGGGCCGTCGAAAGTGCATTTTTATAGCAGCTATGCTGACGCTCGTCGGAGAGATTATCTGCATGTCCTCGGTAGGACTGGGTCAGCTGGTATTTGGCCGGGTAACAATCGGTTGTGCTATCGGCATCATTAGTTCTACCATCCCAGTGTGGCAGGCAGAATGTAGTCCACCTGCCCATCGTGGGAAACATGTTGTCCTTGATGGTGTATTTACATGGTACGTCCAGCCTCTTCTAGCTTAGGCACAAGACATAGTCGAACTTTTCTTACTCGTTCTTTTTTCTAGTCTAGGTTTTGCGCTTGCATCATGGGTCAACCTAGGTTCATCACAGGCCGACGTATCAAATCCATCCATCACCTGGCGTTTACCACTTGCCGTTCCAATCATCTTCTCGGCCCTGCTCATGCCGGGCATTTATGTTATGCCAGAGTCGCCCCGTTGGCTTATCAAAGTCGGCCGCTTTGAACAGGCAAGTGAAGTTCTCTCTCTTTTAAAAGATCTACCTGTGAACGACCCAATCATAATCAACGAGGTAGCCGATATGCGAAAAGCTCTAGAAAGTGACACGACGAAGAAAGCTACGCTTAGAGATATGTTTACCATGGGCACCGACAAATTATTTTATCGTTTTTGCTTGTGTATTCTGTTGCAATTCTACCAACAGATGTCAGGGTCTAATCTCATTTCGGTCTACGCTCCGGTCATATTTGAGCAGAATCTTAAACTCAGCAGCAAGAAAGCCCGCCTATTTGCAGGTGGAACGTTAACGTGGAAGTTTCTGAGCTCTTTTGTAGCCTTCTTTACCATCGATAGATTCGGGCGAAAAGCTCTTTTCATGTTCAGTGGGCTCGGGTAGGATTATCCCTCTTTCCACTTTCAATTCACCAAAATCAGCACTGACTTGAATCATTTATTAGCATGGGTACATGTATGCTCATCTTAGCTATCACCACTGGCTACTCCTCTGAGAACGCCGTGCCATCTTACGTTAGCGTGATTGTAATTTTTCTCTACAATTTCTTCGTACCAATCGGGTTCCTTGGCGCAAATTTTCTCTACTGTGCTGAGGTAGCGCCTGTCTCATTGCGGGTAGGGATGTCAGCTATTTCCACAGCAAACCATTGGCTCTGGAATTTTGTCGTGGTAATGTCCACGCCTGTAGCCATTGCAAGTATCGGCCACTGGTACTTCATTCTTTACGCAACTATCGGCTTATCTATTCCGGTCGTCGTGTGGATGTGGTTTCCAGAAACTATGGGGCAGACGCTTGAAGAGATTGATCAGGTATTCCGATTAAACGAAGGTTTTAGAAATATTGTGAATGCCAGTGTCAAGGGTAGCCGTGATAACAAAAATGCGCCAGGTATTGAAGAGGCTATTAAAGAGAAAAATAATGTTTAGCAACAAGACTTACACTAATAGATAGCTCCTACATCACCCAGAAAAGTCTAGAGTCGCGACACGATACAGGAAATTTCAACTGGGGAGTTTCAACATATCTACTGCGCGCACAATTAATACGATGAGCTTGATAAGTGTAAGAGGCGCGTCATGACTTCAAACAGTACGGACTCACTGTAATTTGATATTTAATTTTTGCCTAAATATTGTTCAAAATTCTGTTATATTCATTAGGGTTATCTGGTTGGGGGTTTGGGGTTTGAGTGTTAATTATTGGTATACCTTAGCTGGCTGATTGGTAATGATGGGCGCAAGACGATCGTTAATCTAATTACAAACTCATCTATCTTTCTGCGGATTGAGATCTTTGAATGATCAAATTATCATGGTCTCATCTACTATTTTGACCGCTATGTAAACAGTGATTGTGACTTCATACTTTGGTACAATTCAGTTGTGAGGAAAAACTTCAAACTGTTTGGACGTTCCTATTTTGAATTTCTCAACGATCAGGTAGTTAAGTGGCTGGAAAAGTAGGAAACGACAATGGAGTTGGATTAGCATATCTACGAATTGAATGACCAAAACCCAAAACCTGTCAGTGGTGTCCCCTACGAACGTCCAGATCTCACTGTAGAGTCTGCAGAGTCGAGATTGAGTAACAAAGTCCTCACTTCGATGAGGATTCCCATCCGCTTTCGCCGTCTGTATCGTCTTCATCTCTAAACACATTCTCCTATCACCAGTATCATGGAGATGCCATCCGATGAATTTCCGGAGCGTACCCAGCACCCAGCACCCGATACGGAGATGGTGGATTGGATCAAGTCGGCCTCGACTGTTACAAAAAAGGGAGATGTAGATAGATATGCGCACCACATGTGGACCCGGTGTCTAGGCCTCGCCTGGCTGGGGCTGCAGGTTTTTTGAGACTTTTTCCCGCGCACGCAGTTTCCATTGCTACCATTTCTATTTTTTTGTGTAGAAGATTCCGTGGAAAAGGTGGTCAAATTCCACCGTAAATTACCGAGCTGATGGGCTATCCATCACGGGCAACGTATCAATGATCTTCCAAGGAGAATGAGAGGCAAGGGGAACTATACAAGGTGTGGCGTGCGTCAGAGAGAAGCCCAATGTGCTAGATAGTCTATGACTCAATTAGTACAACAAACATCTCTCTCTCTCTCTCTGTGTATAGCCTGGTAGCCATTGGCTGGATAATATTGGTGTCGAATGAGCTTATGACTTCATGTTAGGCAACGTTATACTAATGTGAATCTCTCTCAGAATTGATTGAACTGATTGTCCCACGCCATGACGAATGTATCTAGGTACTATATACATCTTGAGAGTATTCTACTAATTCCAAATATAGGCTGACTATTAGATTGTCCATACGAACTGCTCAAATCTCCGTTCCATACATGGTTTTAGAATTGGCTGTGACACTATCATGGGCCATAGAAGGAATGAAACAATAATGGAGTGGTGCGTAGGAATTGGCCATCCGTCTCGTCGCTAGTTGTAATATTTGCATGACCAAATTATTGCCCTTGATGCGCGAGCCTTGTATACTCGCTTGTAAGCTACTCTACTTAAACATCGTGATACTATTTTTAAATTTAGGGTAGTCTGTTGGACACTTCATGACCTTTCATGTAGTTTCTTAGAAATGATGACTAATTATGTTGATGAGTAATGAGTCACCTGCTTAGGAATAGCGTTAGGAGAGAGGGACAACTGCTGTATATACGTGTTTCCTTTAGTTAGAAGAGAAGAATAGAAGATCTATGTTAACCACTGAGCGTAACGAGATGTCACGGAAGGCAATTCTTACATCGAGAGTGTTAATCTATCTCGAGAGACTGCAATCTCTCAGCAACTCGATATGAAAGTGGGCAAGGCGCAAGGCGGTAATTGTCTGGGCAATTTTCTTTATCTATTCTTTCATGTAATTAATTAGCCTAGAAAATCTCGAGGAGTGTGTATGCTATTTGTCTGCAGAGGACAAGTGTGAGTAAGTAGGGGGTTAAGGTCTTCCACAAGAAGAGATAGGGGGCAAGTCGTGACCTGATACGAGTACGGGCTCAAAGTGGTCTTCACAAGGAAGAGATCGAATATCTAGATTGAGGACAATTTTGAGAAGACGTTGCGTGAAGAAGGCAACTCGACTGGAGGCTACGCTTTATTATGTACATGCTCGTAGTTCACTGTTACGTTACCTTTCCCTACTCCGGCCAGCTAGATTTGTATGCTAATAGTAAACCATTTTTCTAACCCCTATCATTATTCTGTGAAAGAAGGCTGGTCAGATAGGTAGTAGTGAGTCATCAGAGATCACATACCCGTATCATGCCTATTGGGTGTAGGGCTTTTGCCTGGTACGAAATTAATACATACATGTTAACCACAATCGTTATTACTGCTATAGAAAGTTGTGATATAAATACCAGCTGAGTAATCTGACAATTGGTTTAATGTTCATTGTACTACTAGACTCTTAGAATATTTAGCACATTAGGCTGCTTTCTGACCCACGTCACACTATGTGCAGTGCTCTTATACTCTTTTGTTACTTGCAAGATCATTGATATATTGCCCGTGATGGATAGTCATTCAGCTCAGTGTTTACCCGTGGAATTCGGCCACCTTTTCCACAGAACCTTCTACTTAATAAAAATAAGTGTGTTTGCAATGGAAACTGCGTGCGCGGGAACAAGTCTCCAAAACTTGCAGCCCCAGCCAGGCGAGGCCTAGACACCGGAACAACATGAGGTGCACATATTCATCTATGTCTCCCTTCTTTGTAACATTAGAGGCTGACTTGATCCAATCCGCCATCTCCGTATCGGGTGCTGGGTACGCTCCGAAAACTCATCGGATGGCTTCTTCTCCATGATCGAGGGTTGGTGATAAGAAGGCCTTTGATCCTAACAAGTGATCTGATCGTGGTTAGTTTTATGATAATGGTGAAAGGGGGTTGTGTTGAGATATGAAAACGAATCAGACCGCAAAGCGATTGGGAATCCTCATAGGAGTGAGGACGGTGATACTCAATCTCGGCTTTGCAGACTCTACAGTGAGATCTTGAGGTTCGTAGGGGACACCACTGATAGGTGTTGAGAATAATCCCACGGGCACGACGTTAAATATTATGAATAAATAAAATATTCTAAATTCTGACACTATTTTCAGGATCTGCTTAGCTCCACCAACTTGGCGTTCCATGCTGATTACAGCCCTGAATATGGAGATCGACATTCCATCAGCACACATTCTGCTTGATGAGAGTAGGCTTAAAACTGCCGTAAAAATCCGAAGACAAGATGTTTACTATCCGCCTTGGACTAAAGACAGGCAACAAAAGCAAACTTGGCCTCGATAGAGTTCATGATTCAAGGATCCAGAAGGTGTGCCGACTTCTGCCGGAGGCGGAACTACCTCCACCTCTACGACCTCCGGTACTCCCTCAGCCGAAAACTTGCTGAACAAGTAAGAAAGAAGTAGCTAAGTTTATAAGACAGTGGCTACTCACCTTCCTATCCGACTGTCTCTGTGCTTACAGTGATGGTTCAATGGCGTCCACCGTCAAGTTATCGTGGGACTTTGTGACCTATTTCAGCGGCATTGGCACAGTAATTGAACAAAGTGGCCCCGGAAAAAATATGAATGCGAAGGTCTACGATGCGGAGGCTCATGGAGCTATGGCTGCTCTCGAGGCAATCGCTAGCAGAAAATGAGATCGGAGTCGCAGCACCACCTATTTCTTACTTGACATCTTGGCAGCTTTCCAGGCTTTACTGACGGTTTAACAGTATAATGATCCTGAGAGACCCAAAAGTTCTAGAAAATGACCGCAATAGCTGCGGCCTCAGTAAAAGTAGGATGGATCCAGGGCAACGTAGGACTTTATCCTGACAACCTGAATCAGGTGTCCGATCATTTATACACTACACCCGCTCTTATTGTAGTGGCTGGTAAAATAACACGTATCTCGAGCTATACAAGTAATCGAGATTTGTGGAAGTGTAAGGACATGTCATTTCTAACTCAGCATCGAGTGAGGAACCCAATTTGAATGAGATTTATCAGCCTAGTCATATCAAAGCAAGGGAACTCAGTGTTACATACTGATTTGTAGGAGGGCAAGACTGAACACCTGTACGCAGTGTCCTCTACGAACCTGAGAGTGAAATATTCTCCCAGAGCCAAGTTCAGTCAAATTTCACAATATCAAACAAGTTGGCCCACGAGGCAAAAATTCAAATTACTCCTCCACGTCGTTTTTTTCGCTCCCAACGAGTTTGACTCTTACCTAAGTCTCATCAAGCCCACAAGTGCGACCTAGTACATCCTCATCCCATTGACCACACCTCTCGTCGACTATCTCTGGCCTCAGTTGACCACCAAATACACGCCCACGCCGATATTTATAACTGACGGAGGAAACAAAGCGTGGCGCACAAATCTGGGAGACAGTTCATTGGGATGGACGTGAGAGGAATTAGGATAAGATGATGCAGAAGATGGATACGTGTTCGACGGGCGTGAAATTTCGAATTTTGCCAAGGAGTTTTACGAATTAGGCTTTGTGCGCGCCAAGACTTCGCTTGCAAGAGTGCAGGCGACACTATAAACACAAGCCGACGATGGAAAACGTGGTGGTCCGCTCACTGGTGGCGTTCGCCGGTATAGTTTGAGTAGCCTGGGCACCTACTCCACCTGGGAAGGAGACATCTCAGATTACATTTCGCGCGGAGAAAAGTTGAAAGATGATGGAGGCATGTCTGGATAACTCAGGGTTTTTGAGATGTTCTCCTGGGTGGGTATTCACGGATGAGGGTTGACTTGGGGTAAAGAAAAAGCCGCCATAACTTCGCAGTGATACTTGCAAATGAAATCCGAGGCATGAGTGCTCCTCCTTTACGTTGAATCATCTTTTCTGTACTTTTCTTTGATATTGTGTCATAGCTAGATAGCTGCATACGCAATTGAAATCTGATGCAAAAAAAAATACTGATTTGTACCATTTCATTTTAACAATAATAATGTAAAATTTTGCCACTTTCTCATTTGATCTATGAACTTAAGTCCTAATTCCTCAAAAATGATATGTCGCAAGAGTCTAACAACTCTTATCGCACTTCCCAAATAACTCTGTCGTTTTTACAGACCTCACGGATCGGATTCCCGGGACTACTAAGCCAAACTTAGAAAGTCAAGACCGGTGACTATAGATTAGCTCGTATGGGTTCGCTAAATCTAGCAAGGAGGGTATACAGCATTTGTACGTTTCAAAGCTGTAGCCAAAAAGGTCGAAGAAAAGATGATTCCATCTGAAAAAAACGTCTCTATGGCGGGAGGATCGGGGTTGGGAGTTCTAGAATCTGAAGAAGAAGCCTGAGGATCCGGTTGGCCTTTTTGAAGTCTACGAAGACGTCACCAACACAGAACAGGAAACCAACCGACACGAAGACCTGTGAGCTTATCTTTCGCTCCCAGCGGAGATCAGGTAAAGTCACTTTGAGGATGTGACAGCAAAGGGAACGGGCAGGAAGCGCGGCGTCTGGAACACATTGGAAATTTATCTAAATTCGATTTTAGTTTTTTTGATTTATGTTTTGCTTTTAATTTAATCTCCTTTTGTAGAGGGTCCTGCGGTTAGAATGAGTTGGGCCTGCAAGCAGTGCTCCCCGCCGGCTCCACAGGTCCTGCACCCATAGTGGACATAGTATTGTGATTATGAGGAGAGGAATGGCATACAAACAGTGGCTTTATTAATATGATGTGCTCGACACTATTATGAGGTTGACGATTATATGTGTTCGCTTTATTAGGCTCGTTTCCCAATAGTTGCTATCTTTATGAAGGAGAATACTCCTATTTATACCTAAAGCTCATCTGTCTAATTTCCAGAAGAATATTCCATCTTGTGATGTAAGATATTCTATCATATGCTGTAAAATAGTTTACATTCTTGTTCAAATCATCCACATGCAACTGTCCATGATATCACTACACCAACCACATCTTGTATAGATCTCTATATCATCTAACACAGCTTGTCTAATTTGCTGAGTAATCTCACATCATAACACATAGAGCTTTTGCTTAGGACCAATTGAATCAAGAAAACAAACAAACCAACATTAATCTATCAAAGAACCACAATGAGGTAAATCTACTTGTGCAAAGCAGTCAAATATTTTCCGAGGCTACTCATCAAAAGGATATCAACCCCCTTGGATATCAAAGCAAGCCCTTGTCATCTATGCACACGAACATAGCAAGAAGCTTGATCGAGTATTGTTCGATTCAAACCAGTAACCTCCTGCGTCAGAGATAGGTGTTCAAGTTATATCTAGACTTTTCTGGAAGATAATCTCAGGTTGTGTATTGCTACACCATTTAACCGTGACGCTGTTTATAATATCGACTCCATCCTAGGAAATGAAGTCGAGCCGCGCGTAATCATTTTTTATATGAAAAACTCCTTTCAATATATTTATATTTCACCTCTTTCAAAATTCTACCTTTCCTCATTATCATTTTTTATAAATCCTAGTCTCTCTTCCGCATACCTCATAGATCTGCTTGCTAGCCCGTTTATCACGATTTTTTCACAAAGAAGATATTCTTGTTGTTGTGAGCACATATTTAGAGGCTAGTTGGGCCTGTATATTTTATCAAGGAAGATTTTGATCATAGAGATCAAGACAAGTTAGGCCGCACTTGTGTACTGAATGAGGCTTTATTTGGTATCTATCTTGTTGTGGGTGAGGGATTGACGTGATAGGGTGTCTCAATTTATTTTCTCGTAAGCCAACATCTTCGCTGTGGCCAAACCTGACTAGAGTAGGCTGCTGTAGTATTTATTGTTGTGATGTTCGTAGGAGATACCGCTGAAAGGTGTTTATTTTGCATCAATTTTTAAGCTAACAGGTGTTCAGTCCTCGTCTTTCAGCTATTTGAGTTTTGGCTACAAAGATGATGTATGTGTACAAATTTATTACGATAGAGCCTGATCAAGTGGAAATTTTAGAAAAACCATTGCGGATCCCCGTTATTCCGTGGCCAAAATACTGATACTGAAAGCTATATAAATTTTGTAGATACAGACCCTTTTCATTAATGAACATGCCTTATGGTACTACTTGCGAATGGTAACGGGTGATTTACTTTCTTTTACGCCATAGGAGCCAGATTACTTCTACACAGGGCACTGTCCATGTGACATAACTTACTGAACAACACAAATTAATGGAGCAAAACTGATGTTCTACGTGACGGACCTAAACATCAGACGCCGGGAATTCCCTGGGTTCCAAGCTCTCTTGAAGGGGCAATTGTCCTTCGTAAATGGCTTCATGATACCAGCTTCTTCTATGAAATTCAATGTCGACACTACTATGTAGTGGATTCGACTAATACCTGTCGGCTATCACTGGGAAATCGATGTAGGTGACAAATAATTTTACCTGTAAATAGTTATATATCTTCTGTAACTTGAATATCAAAAGTCTTAGTGGAAGAGCACTTTTGACCTCCTTGAATAGTTTGAGGCGCTCGGCCGGGGTGGGCCTTGGTCCAAAGATTACATGTCGGGGTTGGTAACAATCGCTGGCATGTTGGGTAGTCAATTTAAACTGAGCTGGCCAACGAGAGACATTGTGGTTGTATTTTGGACTGGCATAACGTTAAATAATAAACAAAAACTATGATCAAAATTGATGTTGCGGCCTCGCACCGCTCTCGACATCCGCGATCTCTACCATTTCGAGTCGTTAAGTGTCAGCCTCGCCGAGTTTGATTGGCCTGCACAATTGGGTAATCAAAAGCAAAAGTAGATAGTATCAAAACTTCTGCAATTCGAGGTCAACTGCAAGCATTGCAACATGTCCAAACGCCAAGTCGCGGAAGCATTCGGAAGTGTCACTGATTTTGGCTCTCCGGCTCCGAAAAAAACGCGGCGCGACAGCGTCTCCGATATATACCATGGAACAAGTCTGCCAGAGCGGCTCAAGGCAGTAGAGATTGATGATGATGACCACGGAGAAGACGAGCCAGAGCCAGCTGTCGTAAGGCAGAATGCCCCACTTGAAGGATTTAATGACTTATACTTGGATACAATAAACAGAGGTGTCCTAGACTTTGACTTTGAGAAACTATGTTCCGTTTCCCTCTCCAACATCAACGTTTACGCCTGTCTCGTATGTGGAAAATACTTCCAAGGCCGCGGACCGAAATCGCATGCTTACTTCCATTCTCTCGAAGTCGGCCATCATGTCTTTATCAATATGCAAACCAAAAAGATATACGTTCTGCCAGAAGGCTATGAGGTCACGAACAAGAGCCTAGGCGATATCAAGTTTGTCGTAGACCCAACCTATACAAAAGAGCAAGTCAAAGCGCTTGATAGGGAGGCAAAGACAGCCTGGGCATTGAATGAGAAAGAATATTCGCCTGGATTCGTGGGAATGAATAATATCAAGGCAAATGATTACTTCAATGTGGTAGTTCAAGCACTCTCACATATTCCGCCTCTTCGAAACTACTTTCTATTAGAAGATATGTCGGCGAAGCCAGAGCTTGCAAAGCGTCTATCTATACTCATTCGAAAGATATGGAACCCTCGCGCTTTCAAATCACACGTCTCGCCCCATGAGTTACTGCAAGAAATTTCCCTACGATCAAACAAAAAGTTCACCCTCACTCGTCAATCCGATCCCGTCGAATTTCTCTCTTGGTTTCTCAACAACCTTCATCTTGCTCTCGGCGGTAGCAAAACTAAGCCTGGTAGTAGCATGATCCAGCATGTATTCCAAGGGAAACTGAAAGTCGAATCGCAGGCCATTACCGCCAAAGCAGATGCTGGAGATCGCCTACGCTTTGAAGAAGCTGCCTCTGTTCAGACAGAGATTACCCGCTTCATGCTACTCACCCTCAATCTTCCGTCAGCACCGCTTTTCCAGGATGAGCTTGAACGAAATATTATTCCTCAAGTACCCCTGACCTCCATCCTCTCCAAATACGATGGAATTCGAGGTCAAGAGCATCTTAATCAGCGCAAACGATATCGACTTCTACACCCACTCCCCCCTTATCTTCTTTTCCATATAAAGCGCTTTAGCACGAATAAGTTTGTCTCGGAGAGGAACCCTACCATTGTAACTTTTGATGCGCGAAATCTTGACATGTCCCCTTACGTTGAGCCAAATCCTCAGATACACAAAGTTGGCGAACCTATTTGGTATGATCTGGTCGCCAATATCGTGTATGAGGCTATCACGGGGAGAGACCAGGGGGAAGAGGGAAAGAGTTGGAAAGTACAAATACAAGATCGGGGGAAAGGTGAATGGAAAGTGATTCAAGATTTATTTGTGGAGGAGAGTCAGAAGGAACTTCTATATCTTGGTGAAAGTTATTTGCAGATGTGGGAAAGGCGTCGGGAGAAAAAGGGAAAGGGAAAAAAATGAAAACGTTTATGCATCCAAAGGCATTCGGTGTATTAGTATGAGACTGGTGGAGTCAGGAGTTTTTTCAGTTTAATTCAAGTGTTCGTAATGCTTCGTATGTGATAATTAGAGAGCAGGTTTTCTCAATTATATAGCGTGGCTAAGTACTAGCCCAATAAATTATCATTGGCAGAATCTTTCTCTAAACCAAAATTCTCTTACAGCGACTTAATCTTCATCTGCACCTGGTTTTTCGTCTTTCTGTAGACGCGGCACCTCAAACACAATAGCTCCGTTTTTTCCTCTGATCTTTTGCCATCTTCCCAACCGATTCTGTTTGCCGACAGCCGCAATTATACACACTCCATCCTTTCCGCGTTCGCCTCGTTCAAAAACTGATATATCGTTGATAATCCCTCTCACTTCATTAACGCTATTTTCATTTTTCTTTGTATGAGCTTTATCTTCAAGCAGGCCAGGTAAGGTGCTTGAATCATCAGGAGGCTGTCCATAGACCGTGCCCATAGGCTCCAACTTTTTTTTGTCATCACTTACCCTCCATACTCGTAAGGATCCGTCCCAGCTTCCACTTAATACTACATCAGAATATGGAATGGCAGTGAGCGCTGTAATCCATCTAGGCTGAGGCTCCGGAATTGTATTCGGAGTGGGAGTTTTTTCGGCAGAGACGTCTTCGGGCGCCAGTAAAGGCTCAACTCCATGACAGGTTTGAAGCGTGAAGAGTGGTTTCTTTTTGTGGGTAGCCCAGAGACTCAGGGAACCGTTGTCAGAGCCCGTGACAAACATTTCTTCGTCAATCATTGCTACGCGGTCTATGCTGCCTTCAGGGAACCTATTACTTTTGGACTTTGATTTTTTTTCGATACCACCACCACCACGGAATACTAATTGTGTTTCCTCCGCTACCTTCCATAAACGCGCAGTGCGATCCCTAGCACCGACACTTATGCAACGCTCTTGTGCCAACGCAGAAATATCAACTATTTCATCTTGATGCCCGAAAAGTGTCTCCACATAAGCTAGTTCGTTTAAGCTCCAGATCTTTACGGTTCGATCCTTGGAAGAGGAGTAAAGTTGGTTGGTGCCGCGGCGAAAGACCAGTCCCGTAACCCAGTCCCTATGATGGGTGAATACACGTAGACATTTCAATGTTTCGGCATCCCAGACAATTATTTTTCGGTCTTTTCCCCCTGTTACTACGAACTTTCCGTCCTGGGAAGCAGCGACACACAATATTTTATCCGAATGACCCTGGTATGATTCGTCCTTTGCTTTGGATCTTTTTCCCTTCACACATATAACTTGTTCTAGCTTACGCTTGGGAGGAGGTTTGGGTTTTATTTGCCGCCGTTTTTTCGATTTTAAGCTCCATTGATTCTCTGGTAAATCCTGGATTTTCCATTTTATTAAAGTCAGATCTTCGGTGACTGTATAAGCCCATGGATAGCATGTAGCCACACTTGTCACAGAATCGCTGTTCCACTTTGTCCAACTATGGTTTGTTGCTTGAAAATTCAAGGTGTCAGCAATCTTCCGGTAGATGAGGCCTTTGGATTCTGCAACGTCCTCTACTAATCTTTCGGCGATTAGATCTCGATCAATCTCTTCTGCATCGAATCCGACTTCATCTACTTCCGTGCGAATATTCTCTAAGTATCGTTCGGCAAGTTTCAGTCTCCGCTCTGCTGCTGTCTCCTCGTCTCCTGAAGTCTCGCCATCTAAGGATTTAAGTTCGTCAGAAGCTTGTCTATTTTCTCTATTATTATCACTCTCATAGTCACTCCCGGATATTGATTCGTCTCTCGTCAGTTTTTTCAATTCAGGCTTCTGTCTGCGGGACTGTGTTTGGGATAAATTTCTTCTTTTAGATGATCCAGTTTCTTCTGGCCGCTTGCGTTTTTTGAGCGAAGAAGGAGTTGAGAAAAAGGCTGGCATGGCGAGGTGTAATTCTGCACTAAAATCGTGCGTTAAAATATCCCCATCAGTTGTCTTGAGAGTATTTTGGCCATTGATAAAATTTTATTCACGTGACGCTTCGTTAGAGCATTAAATTAGGTGTCTGTTTTGAAAGGGGTTGACCAGAGATACTTTTGCACGCAGCATTTCCCCCGATCATGTTACAGAAATATACTTTTAGAGCTAAGATTCATCCATTTATTACACTTGGGATGGAGTATTTCTTTGCTGATGTACCTGAAAAAATGAATTATGTCCAACTCTAGATGAAAGCCTAGACTGCGCAGAATCGGCACCACTAACTAAGAAGGCACTAAACCATCAGCTTATATGATCTCCAGCCTGCTCGAGCACCAAATGACTTTCATGGCCCGCCAAATAATTAACCACTCTTTCTCTTTTAGCAGCTAAAATGACTAGATTAAGTCTTGCGATGCCCTATACTAACACAAACATCAGATATATAGATCATACCCCGGAAAGCGCCCTATCATACACTTCATAAAATGACCTTCAGTGGCCCTAAAGACTTCGCAAAAAACGTCCTGTGGTAGTAGGGCTTTGGAAATGAATAACGTACATCTAAGACATAATGGGGTACACATCTCTTGGGTGAATAGGCTTCAATTCTAAATGAAGATAACACGACCGCGAGAAAGACCAAAAGAGTTAGGTCTTGGAAAAATTGATAGTAAATGTAAAGCACAATTGGAACGTTATCATGCAAAAGAATCAGAGACAACTTCCCTTAAAATCAAAGGCTCTCTGAGACGCCGATGAATGGCCTGGCCTCATATTAATCAGCTGAGCTTTTTTCGGGTACATTGGCTCATTGAGTTTACTACAAATGCTATGATAGCTTCTACTCAATAGTCGTGTTCTAGTCTAGTGCGCCGACACACGGTCACGTAATTCAGGATAAATAAGAGTTCCTAAACAAACAATGGCTCGTAGTTGCAGATTAAATATATCCTTTTTCAAAATGATAACTTAAGACAATTTAAATGCGAAGACTGTGATTTCAGAAGTATAATATTCGACTAATAACATGATTGAGTGGTCATACTTTAAAGCCAAAAATTCCTTTCTATGTGACGATGGAGATTACATGGTCTTTAGACTCACCAGCCTTTAGAATTCAGATAAGTTCTCCTTTAGCTCATAGACTAATAACATGGATAATAAATCTAGGAGCAAAAATACAACACATAGTCCACCTTTGGGCGGTAAATTGTATAGTGGGTCACGCACACACAATTTTTTGAAATTCGAATTTTCGAATATCCCCATTTCGCCCCCCTCCCTCTTTTTTGCGCTCGTCGCACTCAACAGAAAATTGTGATCTCGGTGATAAGCACCTGACCTTCGAAATAGCACTGGGGCAACCCAAAAAATCGCGTGATGATCGTGTTATCGACGCCCTCGGAAGAGCGCACAAGAATGTGATTAAACGCATGATCGACAAGAATTCGACAGTAAAAAACATCAACTATGGAAAAATGGATATAGAGCTTATTGAGAGGATCAATACCTTTGAAGAAAACATCAGCTCCAGCAACTCAGACGTTGGAATTTCCGATAGAACAACCTACATATATATTCAAGAGAGCCTCAGTAGCTCCAGGTGGACCGTAGAAGACTCGGAAGACAGCCAAGTCAGAGTCATCCCCGCCATTACAACCAGAAAGATTGCTGTCCCTGCTGTTAGGCGGACAGCGATCGCACATAATAGTAAGTAATAAGGCGCCGCATGGCCCAAAAATCCCCCTGAAGGTGCATCAAAGATTACAGAAGAGAATACCGCTTCTCGCCATAAAAATGACCCCAAGCAGACAGAAGACTATCCCTCCGAACTTCGGGCCATAATCGAAGCCGAAGAACGCCGGACCGCAAGAATAGCGGAAAGTATAAAGATATGCGCTGCTGCGATAAACAGTATCGAAAATTCTCTCTCCCCCCTATCCAAAGGGACGAGTGTTCAATTTATAGACTCCATGAAAGTCTTTATTGGAGCTGCAATAGCGCAATTCATGATATAGGGACCCAGTACAGTCCTCCCAGCACTTCCTTCGCGCCCTAAACCCCGGGCTACTGGCAGCAAGATCACAGAATGCACCACCAAAAAGCAAGATGAGCCACAAAGTAAAGCGACTTAAGACAAAGTCTCCCGGGCCAAAACGACTTGGGTCTCGATCACCCGAAATTGCCTATTTATTGAAATGTATAACCCACTACTTAGTTCGTGGACTTTATTGGTAAAGGGAAGCTTATGCAATAATGAAGGATAAAAGGATGTCAATTCGACTACTCTCTTAAACATAGGTACCAGACTCCTTTTAACCCCAATAGATAGTCCGTGCGGGGTCTCCTATTAACAGCAGTAAACAACGCTAGCACAGGGTATACACAATCTCCGTTCGCCAGACACCAGTCGGTCGGGACTACTAATTATCGAGCCCAGTAGGATCGACATAGTGTATCCCAACACAGAAATCATAGAAAACTCAACAACTAAACCCTTCATCAATTACTTCCATTAAGCATCACCTGACTCATCTCTGAACTCCATAATTTCAACACTATTGACTCCCCCGGTAACTACAAAAGTCGCGCAGGCTATGCCAAAGGCGACAAAAATGACGCGGCCGTCAAAAAACCCAACTGCTTCAACGAAATTAGTCACCAAAGATGAATTCTTGTTTCTTCGCCTCGGAAATGAACACCCTTGCAGAACGCTATCACCGTTTCATGTTGAAGAGGCTGTGGCGAAAATGCTCGAAATTCCTCAAGCCAATATTGAGCACGTATACCGTGTTCCAACTGGCTTCGCAATTAGAGCCGAAACCAAAGAGGCACGCGCCATCATGTTAAGCCTAGCTGGGTCCCTCGTCCAGCAAGATGCCATACTGGAAGAAGCATCGGACCTGGGCTCACTTAGAATCGCAACAGTCCCAGTTGCTCTTAACACAATAATGGGCAGAATTATCGTCACAGAAGAGATGGTGACAGACGAGATAGTCAGGGTCACCAAGGCTGTCTAGGTAAAATTACGCCAAAATGGGAAAAGCCGACTTGGAGCCCTATACTAGTCATGGGTAGCCTTTTTTGAAAAAGCGTCGATCCCTCGGCCAGGTTTCCGACTATTTGACGACTCTAGGATTGCAGTCTGTCACCAGCCTCGTCAACGAATCAACCAGAGCAAATGATGTCTACAATTTTAGGGCACCAGGGGCTGCTCGCGCGCCCCAACTTGCTAGAATTGCACTTCAACTATGCATTCCATCGCGGAGTGCAAGGCACAAACCAAGTGCCGCAACTACGGGGGTCCACATAGAATAGACAGTCGGGATTGTCTAGCTCGCCCTACAAAATCTGGAATGGCCTCCAAGAAAAACCTTCAGACCATAAGTCAGGCTAGCCAACGCGGATTGGCGGCAGTTACTAGGGCCAAAGCAGCTGTCAGACGCGCAGAGGCAGCGATTACAACAGCCGCAGAAGCGTAAAATCTAAACCAGCCAGGTTTCAAATCAGCAAAAATATTTATAAAGGGCGCCTCACGGGTCTCTTCAAGCCTCTCTCCTACTCTAAGCTTTATTTCAATGAACGTAGGTAGAGGGGGCTCAATACAAAACATTGCGCTTGCCTGAGCACTTGAGCTGGGTATCGACGTGGTTCTTGTTCAAGAACCTCTGTGAAATAAACAAAAGAACACAACAAAGGATCACCCAGAATATACCTATCATCTGCCTAACGGCGGCGAAAATGTTTGGCCGAGGGCTGTAACCTACACTTGGATAGACGATAAAAAGATATTGGCAACACAGTTCTTTCCATAGGTTGTGTTCACAGGAGACTAATGCTGGGTTGTAATGAACGGTATCACTTTTATCGATGTCTACAAAGTACCCAATGACTCGACAGCTATACAGCCTCTCATCAACTAGATTCTATTGAAATTGGCGCTACTTGGCAATGAAGAGTCGCATTAATACGGAACGTAATAAGGTTCTATAATTACTAGCCATATTTATGACGACTCATATATTGAACAGCCTCCTAATTATTTAGCATAAACAAGTGAATCGTATCCTTCACTAAGGTGTAGCAATTAGTTTAAATAGCGCTCTGATACTAAGTGGGTTTAATTTACAACACTCCACTATAGTTTTCAGACTCTTCAATCTCCCAACTCGCTCAACTAGGTGATATTAAATACAAGCCTAACAGCTTACGCTTCTCCACACAACTTCCATTACAACTGATTCCACCGCCAAACTCCGTCGCTGTAGGGGACTTTAACTCGGTATATTGGGCTTGGCAACCTGGCGCAGAACGCCCTCATGGACAAGGAGAAATGATCAAAAAGTGGGGAGACAAACACCATTTTACCTGTCATATTATTGGGGGGCCGACTCACCAAGCTAGGAACACGATTGATCTAGTTTGGAGTAATATCGACGGCGCCCGTGCTTGGGTAGATCGTGGTGAATGTGTCACCAGCGATCACTTGCCTATCCGAGGACAAATTCCAGCTCATAACTCAGTGATGACACCCGAAAAGGCAGAGCTCCGAGTAACAAAGGAAAAGCTGCTCAGATTCGCCAAAGTAATTGCACAGTGAGTTCGACCACCACCAGTTCATGACACAATCGACAGGGTTGAAGAGTATGCCCAGGAAATTTGTTTCCATCTCACCAATGCCATCAATGCGGAAGGAATCCGTCTTCGAACCAGCTCCGGTAGTTCTGCTCCGTGGTGGACGTCAGTATGTAAGGTAGCACATGCCGTGTACCAAGTTGCGATAGCACCCCACTAACGGGGGAGGACAAAGGCTGAACACCTGACAATGATGTCCTCTACGAACTTGGGAGTGAAATATTCTCCCAGAGCCGAGATTAAGTCACCACAAAGGGCGAATTTGAGAGTTTTCGTCGATTTGGCGATCGGGAGGAGTGATGTTGGCTCATTTTTGGTCGAAAATCCGACTTGCAGAGACTTCATGACTGCACAATTCAAAGAAATCAACCATCTTCACCCCAGATACGAACCGCAGACAGCCTATAATCTGTCTGATGTTCGTATTACAAAAACTGACACCTTCAACATCTTATTTTCTATTTCTCTGGATATCACTCCTAGCCAAACTCATCTCGCGGCCCTCTCAACAATCATCTCACCACCTACCAAAGCAATCCTATACCTCTAAAAGCTAAATCGTCAACTAAGAAGCAAGAGGATGCCCGACCCTACGCAACTGCCAGTCGCTGTGAAGGTACGGTCGAAATACTGTCCTTAGATGCGTCCTCACCTCGGCCAAGGGCACCAATAACTCGATCTGCGACGAAATACGTGCGAAATTTCGCCGGCACACTAACTAGAGCGTTTGACAAAGGCTGGGGCACCGGTGCCTCGGTCTTGAGCTCTCAGTCGCGTTTTCGACCTCCGCGGTTAGGGGTACGGCAGCGACGGGGCAAGGCTGGAGGGGTGGACATTCTACAAAGTTTCTGCGATGACGAGATCGGCTGAAGGACAGAGGGATGCTACATGAAGGAACTAAAAGGGAATACAAACTGAGGAGGCCTTGGTGGGCGACCGGATGAGGCCTCCAGTGAAGAAAACGATCCCTGGATGAGATGAGGAGATGCTGAGATGAGCCAAAGCTGGGAATGAATCGAAGAGAAAATTTATAGATGGCGAAGATGTCAAGGGCTCGGGCGCGTGGTGGTCGAGGCTGAGGAAAAGTTTACGCTTCGGCGCGCCAAAAGGGGGTTCTCTGGACGGTTGGGCTTGACATGATTCAACAAATGGGTGAACTCTGGGGTGGTCCGGTCATTCAGGTGGAACGAGGTAGATGTACTTAATGGTAGTTAACTTGATCCAGCCCGGCCCCACCCGTGCTTAAGCTCCTGTAGGAGTGTAACGGTAGTCACTTTACCTAGCATGTTAATGAACAAAACAAAAAAAAACACACCCTAGGGGTGCCCAATACTGGTAAAATCAAAAATGTTGATAGGAGAGGTTGCCCTTCATATAGACATTAGAATAGCCTTGGCTGGTGTTCATGCGGCAGGTATGGCGAGGCCATCAACCGACTTGATGCTGCACTTAAAGATCGGATAAAGACTCTTTCAAAAGGCGAAAGTCTTCACTAAATTCAACGCAATACAATCAATGCCGGACCACCAGCCAATGAAAACCTGTATGTTAGAGGAGACATCTTCACGTTGTGGCCCAACAGAGAATAAGTCCCCGGCGTCTAAGTAATTAATTTCAAAATGCATCAACTGCAATGGACCATACTCTACTTTCGAGTCTTGCTCCATAGAAAGACTGATACAGGTGGATGACAAAACAGTGCAACACACCAGAAATTAGCTGGTAACGACTTTCGAACAAGACCTAAAAGTAAGCCACACTGTAATCCAAATACAGCAAGTAAAGCAGAAAGTCATGGAGACGACTACCGAGATCTATACTGCCTGCGTTTTTGAATGCCTATGCGAGAAAACAATTGTTCAGAGCCTAAAATCACGGCAACTACTTTCACTATTCTTTACACCAGTTTGGAAGGAGAGCCTGCTATAAAAATCATCTTGCAATTCGCTCGGGATTCAAGCATTTAAGTCCTGGATATTCAGGTAGTCTGAAGTCAACTCAGTGACATGATTTGATTCACCAAATCACATCCTGTATTCGAAATATATTTGCCTCATAGTGTCGACACAAACTTAACAAGATCACGATCTCTTGATTTTCCATGAAAAAGAAACAAATAAAATTAACAGGCACTCTGTAAATTATCGCTCGAAATAACCGCAGGAATAGTAAATAGTATTACATTCGTCTCAATAAATTTTATCCTGGAAGTAAATCTTCTATCATTGCTAGAAAGATTTCATTACATTAGCACTAACTTAAATGCTATGTACCCCATTTAGTAGCCAACAACAATTAAACCATATAGAGAGAGTAAAACTATCATGAAATAGGTGCTCGAATATGGTATGGATCTGGTTTGCCGACCGGAAGTGCCGACGCATAACCATGAAAATAAAATTGACTTTGCTTGATCCGACATAAGAGCCCCGGTCGATGTTTTGATAGAGCTCGACTCGACATCGAACCATGTAATCCTTGTAGGGGATTTTTCTTGTTAAAATTTTAACGGTATTGCTGCCATGAAGATCAGCCAGTCGTTCTACGTGTCAGACAATATTCTTGAGGACTTCGCTAAAGTATTGGGAAATTACAGGTTGGGAATGAATAGTTATCCAATCATTTCGATATACGATTGAGATAGACTTACTGATACTTTAGTCTAGACCGCAAGGGGCACAATCACGGCTACCAAAAGAGGTAAGATTACGAAGAGGGGCGGGTTAGTACTTTGTTGGATGGCAGTACTACCAGATCAAATGCTAATATAAAACTTTCATGGAGGAGATAAAGAAGAATTTCCATCAGATGGTGAAAAGCGCAAAACTTCAATACAGCGACGTAGGCTCTACATCGCTCCAAGTAATACTGATATATGCAGGATGGCACAATTGGTGTGACGACTTTCGAGTCGATAAGTCCTGTAGCCTTTCTCTAGCACCTAGGTTGGTAACCGAGGTCAAAGAATATTGAGTACATTTGATCAAATATTTCCTTATTTGCCCCATGTATATGCTCAATCATTTTTCGATCAATTTTATCTGAACCAGGTGCCTTTCCTTTTGATAGGCGGCGACATGCTCTCTCAACTTTATCAGAGCTCAGCTCAGGCCAGTCCCATTTTCCGTCTTCTTGATACTGGTTCCAGTCAATGGATGGTGATTCTATAGGGGCTCGGAGAAGCTTGGCTTCCAGAGTCTTTGATTTCTCTTCAAAGCTTTAAGCTAATTATCCATTCTCTTCTTGTGTGGCCGGTAGTTTGGTGATTATTTTATCCTTAGTATATGAAAAGGATTTGAAGATGGAAGTAGGATCTTCCTTCACCAACACCCAATTCCAGTGATTCTTTTTGGCTATCTTGATCTTCTGAAAGTATTTATTCCTTGTATCTAGGTATTGTATTTTCTTGTACCCCTGATCATAGTCTTTCTTCATATTTCCCTGAGTCTTCATCATGTCTTTGAGAAATGCCTCCCACTCCTCTGTCCACCAAGGCCTTACTTTAGTGCCAAGTCTATTTCTTAGAAGACTTTCTTCTACAGCTTGAAGTATCTTTCTTGTTAGCTCCTCGCCTACTTTCTCCAGTTGCTGCATTACTAAGTCATTTCTATCAATAATCTCCCTTGTACATCTTTTGCTCAGGGATGTAAGATGATTGGCACCAATGATGCTAGTTTCATTTATCAAATATTTTGTACTATTATCAACTTTTCCAATCAGGTTTATCCGTATTTAATTTACCATATTGAGTAGAATTATATGGTTGTTCATTTTTTTTAATATTCTTAATACTGAATAAGATACCTTCTGATCTGATCCTATACTTAGAATATGCCAGTCTTCTATCAGACTCTAGGACGAATTAGTTGCTAGGATGATGTCAATAGCGGAAGAGCGCTCCATACCAGACCTGAAGAAAGTACCCTGTCCAATTATATTCATGATGGATAGTCCTTGCTCTTCAAACCATGTCTATAAATTATCAGCATTTCTAGACTTGGGATGGTATGGATCCCAATTAGGATGATATTTATTGAAGTCTCCCACCAATTTGCAATATTCAGAAAGTCTTAATTTGTAACTAATTCTATCAATAGTCGTTAAATTACTTTCGAAGCCTTGATTTTTTTGACTTTATATTTTGTCTATATTCAAGCTATATCCTAAACCCGAAATAACCACTGTCAAGAGTTCAGGGTCTTTTGAATGTTATTTGCTTTGTTTCACACATTTTTCCATGCTTCTAGATAAATAAAACATTTACCTAGGACGAAGATAGTGCAAGAGTCATATAGGTGATTAAAGGATTGTTAAGGGGAGAAGCAGGAAAGCGAAGAACTTGAATGGTAGCTGAAGCAGAAATCCAGATGGGACGTCTTTTGCTTTTCCACATTCTTTTTTTTTCATACTTGGGCTATAGACTATCGAACATATCGAGCTCTTCTCTGACCCGAGCGACACCTGATACATTGCTATAATCCTATTTTTCTGCAAAAAGATCTCTGATATTTTGCCTGTGATGGATGGCCATTCAGCTCAGTATTTACCCATGAAACTTTTTACCTAATAAAGATGAAAAAGGTATCAGTGGAAACTGCATGCGCGGGAAAAAGTCTCAAAAAAACCTGCAGCCCCAGCCAGGCGAGGCCTAGACACCGGGACCACATGAGATGTGCGTATCCATTTTTGTCTCCCTTCTTTGTAACATTCGAGGCCGACTTGATCCAATCCACCTTGTCCTTATCGGATGGCTTTTCATCCATTATCAAGGGTGGGTGATGAGTAGGGCTCCAACCCAAAAATATGAACTGATGGTGGTTAGCTTGATGATAATGGTGATAGGGATTGCGTTGAGAGATGAAGACGATACCAACCGCGAAAGCAATTAGGAATTCTCATAGAAGTGTGGACTTTTTTACTCAATCTTGGCTCTTTAGACTCTGTAGTGGGGGCTGAAGGTTCGAAAGAAATACGCCGTAGAGAGGTGATGAGTCTTTAACGTCTTGACTACGAGCAGATTGCCGACCGACTTACTGAGCATTATCACACGATGACTAATCGAAGATGACTAGCTCAGTCATCGCGCAGAAGATCGAGAATCCTTAGAGTCAAGGCCACAAGCAGCTCAGGAAAGTTGTATAAATTAGAGCTCCATTCCTCAGTGTAAAAGCGATCGACAAACTAGGTCCTCCACCATCAACACAAACCCCTGCATAATCCTCGAATTGGCTTCAGATAAACTACCTCTTGGACGTCAACTAGATACGGTACATCTGTTTCTCAACCTCTAAGACTCACTTTTAAAGATGTAAATATACACCTGCAGGATTTATCACAATATTTCTGACATTGTTTGACTTACAGGGAAGTTTTACTCGGGATAACTGGCAAGGACTTCACTCTGATTGCTGCTTCCAAAGCTGCGATGAGAGGTCCAACAGTTTTAACAGCTGCCGATGATAAAACAAGTATACTGAACAAACAAACCCTCATGGCATATTCTGGAGAGGCTGGCGATACAAGTTCATCTTCCTTGCTGATTCATTAATAATGCTAATCTTTTCAGTTCAATTTGCCGAGTTTGTCCACGCGAATGTCCGGCTCTACAGCATGCGCAACTCAACTGACTTATCACCGTCAGCAGTCGCGCATTTCGTTCGTGATAATCTAGCATCTTCCCTTCGATCCCGTAACCCGTACAATGTTAACTTGCTACTGGGAGGGGTTGACCCTATAACTAATAAGCCCTCCCTTTATTGGTTGGATTACTTAGCCTCATTGGCACCTGTTCCATATGCAGCTCATGGTTACGCACAATACTACTGCCTGTCTATTCTAGATAAGCATCATCATCCTGGTATAAATTTTGAAGAGGGGATAAACATTCTAAAGATGTGTATAGATGAGCTGAAGAGAAGGTTACCAATTGACTTTAAGGGCATGTTGGTAAAGGTAGTAACTAAGGAAGGGATACAGGTTGTTGAATTTGATAATGAAGCCAGGGTCACGTGTCATTAGATCTGTAAAGGTGTTAAAAAATCGGTTTACATCGTGATAGGAGTTTGGTCATCTTGGATAGAAGAGAGAATAGCATGATACCCGGTTTTTGGCGCACAGACCACCATGTAGTTCTTACTAATTTACTTATTTAGTCATCACCATATGTCATGGTCGCAAAAAGTCACCAGAATTAGCGCTTATTATAGCGGTTTACGCTCGCTTGATCACCGCTCGAACAGGATATAGTGATCTTGCGACATACCTCGTTCGCTTCAACCATGCGACAGCCAAACTTAACCTAGAGGGTGATAGATTGTACACAATCGATCATCTTATCCAGTGTATAAAGTCGAATATGATAGAACAGTATTAAATTTAAGTTCCTACTAGTCTATGACTGTGAGGGACTGCTAAAGATATCCAAATAACTTAATTTTAAATTTTGAAATTTTTTTGTTCGATTTTTGCCAATGGATACTCAGAGTCTTGCCCAATCAAGTATAGAAAGGCACTGGTGACAGCGACTGAAGTGCGGAAGGAGGGCACTGGCGCCGAAAGTCCTGCTCAGATCAAGAGGATGGCAGCTGTACATGGAGCACGTCCAGAAGAGTGAAAAATACGCGGTGACTAGTCGGTTAATGGCGTGAGTACATACGACAGGTAGGTCATAGATCGATAGCCTAGAGAACATGGGTAAAATGATCAATTTGATCGGTTCTTGGACACGAGATGTTCGAGAAGGAATGCTATAAGGGAATAGTTTATATTTGTCTTTTGTAACGCGAGACTCCGCATGGAAGTTTTATTTTTTGTATATTTATGCTGGGCTACTGGATTCGTATGATTCAACACATAGGTGACGTCTGAGGTGATTCGGTCTTTTATTTTTTGCATCAAATTTGAGTTATGTACATAGCTATTTATCTATGACATAATATCAAAGAAAAGTACGGAAAATATGACTCAATTTACAAGAAGAGTACTCATGCCTCGGATTTCATTTGCAAGTACCACTGCGAAGTTATGGAGGCTTTTTCTTTACCCCAAGTCAACCCTCATCCGTGAATACCCACCGAGGGGAACATCTCAAAAACCCTGAGTTATCTAGACATGCTTCCATCATCCGTTCAAATTACTCCGCGCGAAATATGGTCTTGGGTGTCTCCTTCCCAGGTGGAGTAGGTGCCCAGACTACTCAAACTATACCGGAGAACACCACCAGGAGGCGGACCACGGCGTTTTCCATAGTCGGCTTGTTTTAATAATGTCGTCTGCACTCGCAAACGAAGTCTTAGCGCACACGAAGCTCAATTCGTAAGACTCTTGCCAAAATTCAAAATCAAACGCCCGTCGAGATTGTATCCATCCTCTGCATCATCTTGTAAACTTGTCCTAACCCCTCTCAAGCGCATTCAAAAGAACTGTCTCCTAGATTTGTGTACCACGCTTTGCTTCCTCTGTCGGGTATAAATATAGGCATGGGCGTGTATTTGGTGACGAGCTGAGGCCAGAGAAAGTCGACGAGAGGTGTGATCATTGGAATGAGGATGTACTAGGTCGTACCTGCAGATTTAATGAGGCTTAGATAGGATTTGATCTCGTTAGGAGTGAAAAATTGACGTGGTGGAGTATTTTAAATCATTGCCCCGTGGGCCAACTTCATTGGTATTGCGAAATTTGACAGAACTTGGTTCTGGAAGAACATTTCACGCCCAGTTACGTAGAATGCACCGCGTACAGGTGTTCAGTCTTGCCCTCCGGCGGGACGAGGTATACTTGTACTTCATGGTAGTTTATCTGAGCCGGCTGGACCCTACTCGTGCTCAGGCTCCAGTAGGAGTGCGATGGGTGATGTGTACCTATCACGTTAATGAACAGAACAATCAAACCACATGTAATGATCTCTGGTCCAGTAAACCTTTTGCCCCACATAGATAAAAGTCGATAATATTGGCCCAAACAGGTAGGTTAATGCTTTTCCGTCAGCAGTTATTCCTGTAGAAACAAGGGGTTCAGATATAGTATGCATGTACTAGTGTCGTATCAAGCAAAAGCCCAACACCCAAAAGGCATGAGACGGGTGCGTGTTCCCTAAAGACTCACTACTACCTATCTGTCCAGCTTTCTAGGCCAATTGATTACATGAAAAGAAGAAGTAAAGAAAATTGGCTAGACAAAAATGGCCCTGCGCCTTGCCCACTTTCATATTTGAATGCTGAGGATATTCCAGTCCCTGGGTTCAGATATGGTGATGATAACTAGCCTGATCATTTCTCTAGACTAGATGTAGACATGACCTAGCTTAGCAAGGTCGAATGATAATTATGTAAGCCTGGCTCGACTATTAGGCAACAGTTGATGTAGCTCCTTTTATCTCCCAATTTACCGTGCACGTATCCTCGCTGCACACGCGTTTTCAACCGACTTTAAAGATAATAATTATATTTTGTAATACCTAGCGGCAATACTCAATCGTCTGAGCGTAGAAGCAACCCTGTATCTTGGAGTAGCAAATTCACTGCGTTGCGCTTGTGTTGTGTGATAGGGCACAGAATTCTGGGAACGCGGACTAGAATCTTGAGCATAAGCCGAGAGTGTAAGGGTTGAAAGTTTAAGCAGTAGCAGAGCGTCTAGACGATATTCATGAAACAATCCTTTGAAATCTTAATATTATCCTGCAAAGTAGCAGGGAATTTTAGCAAGGTTGTGAAAATGAGACTAAGGCATTAGGAGGGAAGCATGATCAAGTCTTGTCAGCGTTGCCCCTCACGACCTCCCCGCTCCCAACTTAGAACCCACAGTGCTGTGATGTAGGGGTGCTTATTACATCTGAGCTAACTCAACACTTACACAAGTTTGACATTGACTCTGGGAAATAAAGGGTACACTACTATACCAAAAGCTGAGGCTTATGGTTGGAATACCTTCTCACGTTTTAACAGGTAAGAGAGAGGGTGATGTATGATTATTGAACTACTTGAGTCTATGACTATCTAGTGCATTGAGCACCTCTTTGACCCAGGCAACACCTTGTGCAGTGATCATGTCCTCTTATGTTCCTTGAAGTGTCATTGATATGTTCCCCTTGATGAATAACTATTCAGCTAAGTGACGACCTGTAGAATTCGGCCACCTTTTCCACGGAACCTTCTACCCAAAAAAAAAAAAAAAAAAAAAATGGTAGCAATGGAAACTGCGTGCGCGGGGAAAAGTCTCCAAAACTTGCAGCCCCAGCCAGGCGAGGCCTAGACACCGGGACCACATGAAGTGCGAATATTGAGCTATATCTTCCTTCTTTGAAACAGTCGAAGCCGACTTGATCCTATCCTCCATCTCCGCATCGGGTGCGGGGCTCGCTCCGGAAGCTCATCGGATGGCTTTTCCTCTATGATCAAGGGTTGGTGATGAGTAGGGCTTCGACCCTACCATCTGATCTGATCGTGGCTAGCTTCATGATAATGTTTTTGGGGGGGTTGTGCTTAGGGACGAAGAAGATACAGACGGCGAGAGCAATTGGGAATCCTCATCGAAGTGAGAACTTTGTTACTCAATCTCGGCTCTGCAGACTCTATAGTGAGAGCTGGAGATTCGTAGGGGACACCACTGTTTGGTGTTGTGTCGGCTCACCGTTGTAACATATGATTTCCACACGCGGATGAACAACTCCACGAAAGTAGAGTGAAAGACTTTTTTGTCGAGAACAGCACAATTAAACGAAAATATACACAGTCTCTCTAACTGTGACACACGACTCAAATAACTAGAAAGGTTACTGAAACACATGAGCTGTACGAAAAATAAAAGTTCGAAACGTTACTGAATGCTACATTAGACCCGTTCGTGGCAACCGGAACTATCCGAGACCTCTACAATCGTATATTCACCATTGATTTTTTATGCTGCACTAACCATTGAAGAAGTTGAGAAGAAGTGGAGAAGGGAGGAGAGAAAAGCTCTTGAACAGAAATAGGCATTCAGCGCCCGGCTATCTTGTCCCTTTTTAGGCTTAAGAGATGGCAGCTATATCTCAAGACTTACTTCTGACGTTGGTGATAAGATAGTCCTGTGCTCAGTTGGTTTTTCATTTGAAATTTTACCGATGAACGTAGATCTATAGGTGGCCTTCGCTAGTTTAGCTAGAGAAAAGATTATGGCGAGATAACAGCTCTTCTAAGCACATATTCGTAGGCAGGCCTGTGCGATTGGTGAACTAAGTTGGTAACAGAAAATTAGAATGTAAAAATTATAAATTTTTTAAATACTTTGTCCTTCATAGTGGCACACTTAGATACAACGTAAATGGATTAATGATGATAGATCCATTCGATTCTTTCCGCAGATAAAGGCCTTGGATGTTTTATAAGACGGAGCACACCCACTCGTAATATAGCTCAATGGGTTGTGAGTATGCGCTTATTGTCCTAAAACGTCTATGACTATGTATAGAAATGTAGACTCTTTCTGTCTACAGGCCAAGAGTATCCATGCTTCCTTTACGACTTCTTTCCAGCATTAGTACTCCCTTAGGTCTTCATTTATAGACAAATTAAGTGGTGCCGTTATCCCGTCATTATCTCCCCTCTCCAGCCAACGAAACGATGACCATTTGCGGGTGTGTAGCTGCAGGGAAAAGTCTCAGAAACCACTGGGTGCGGGGCTTTCTTATGAAGAAGAGGCCGTTCAGCCTGGAGCAGTAGACCTGTGTATACCAGAGAGCTTCTCTCAACCTTCCTTGCCTCCTCCTTACTGTTCCCCCAATTAATGCCGCAGGATAAACCGATGGACGTGAAAGGACATCAAAATATCATGCTCGAGAGTGAGTGCCGTGAAAGAGCGTACCCTAGTATCCAAAAGTCATTATGGCCATGGAGTTATCGAGTAACTCATGTACTTCGGATGCCCTCCTGGCTAATTGATTCGGGATTAAAGATTGGAATGGATGATAATGTTAACAAATTGAAATCTACTTCCATAGAAGGCGGAAGGATCTTTTACTTTGCTTTCGTTGACTTTTTGTTTGCCCGGCGGCGGGTAGCACATGTTGTGACATAACGGAGGCTTCTCTAAATAGCGTTGTAGCGTTTGGTATCGCAATATCTTTCTTTATTCCTTGCACCATTATCGTCGTCTTGATCGTCTTGTGTGTTATCGAAAACGTATCCTTGAGGGAATGGGAGATAACTCAGCTCAAAGTTGAAAAGGTGTTGCTAAATCTCGACTCTGCATACGCTACAGTGATAGCTGGAGGAGTCTAGGTAACATCACTGATAGGGGTAGAGCTTCATCCCCCACTTGATGGATTATCAGATAAGCAGCTTGAGTGTAGCTGACACTGTAAAAACCAGCCAACGATGGAAGACGCTGTGGTCCGCCTCCTAGCGGTGTTCTCTGGTATAATTTGAGTAGCTTAGGCACATACTTCACTTGCGAAGGAGTCGATTTAGGCTACGTCTCGCGCGGAGAAAGGTCAATAGATAATGGAAGCGTGTCTGGATAACCCAGGGTTTTTGAGACGTTCTCCTGGGTGGGTATTCACGGATGAGGGTTGACTTGGGGTAAAGAAAAAGCCTCCATAACTTCGCAGTGGTACTTGCAAATGAAATCCGAGGCATGAGTACTCTTCTTATAAATTGAGTCATATTTTCCGTACTTTTCTTTGATATTGTGTCATAGGTAAATAGCTATGTACGCAACTCAAATTTGATGCAAAAAAAATAAAAAAACAAAAAGCGCCTTGGCATGATTATTAAGATGATTGTTAAAGCCCGCATATGCTCATCTTTGCCTAGCTTTGCTTAATGCCAAGTTGACAAAGTGAACAATTGCAATGACAGGCAGAAATCCTTAGCCGTTGGGCGCCAAATTGCTGAATATGAGTAGGTTTGGCTAATTCAGGCCGAAATTGCGAATCAGATTCATTTCTGATCTTGAGCTCCAAGTTGGCTTGCGCACAAGCCCATCTCTCAAATTCTGAAGTAGCGCAATTAGCTGAAGTCTGATTAAGGCTAGATCAGAATTCAACATATGTTTATCTGATGGTTGCAGTGAGAAAATAGATTTAAAATATTAATAAAAGTTAATATTCCTGCGTCTTCTGATTTTCTTGTGGGGCACACCACAAGTTTTTTACAAGAAAAAGTGCTTTTTAATATCCCATGACAGGATATGAAACCTAAGAAGTCGCAGGTATGGATGCCTGCTCATGGATCTCATAAGTACATGCTCTTACGTGGACAGATTTTAGTCGCCTTTTGTTGTGCGAAAGAAAATTGACACTAACGCGGCTAATTATGCGGCTCCGACGCTTTAAGCTACCAAGAAAGATCTGCTCGGTATCTGAATTTTCACCACAGACATTCTCTCAAATCCCAAAAATCTCTCACCCTCATCGCTTTGGGAGTTCCTGCTCCTCTTTGCGATACTTAGATAGCATCCCACCTATAACTCACAATTAAAGGTCGATACAATCTCTATTCCGATTAAAACATCTGATTCAGCTGTGTGTTTTCCTCTCATTTTGTCAGACCTTACCTCACCATTAAACTGTCTAAAATTTCTAACAATAATATTTTACTAACTAGGTTGAAAATAATTACAAATAAATTAAGCAAGAGCTAAAGTCAAACTTATAATGGCAGATCAACTGAACATGAGTGGGCTAAACATCAACGGCCCTGGAGAGCAGCGCTCCTATATCCCACCACACATGCGTGGAAAAATTGGCGGCATTCCAACAGTGCCTTTGAATGGAGGCATCAACAGCTCAACCTGGAATACGCCAGAGACGTAAGTGATTAAGTCTTATATTGAATTATGTTCTTTTTTTTATACTAATCAACTTCTAACTAGCCCTCAATCCGCAGGAGGTAACTGGGCCTCGGCTCCTGACTTCCAGCCTGGCACAGGAGGACCTCCAGCCGGTCCTAGGTCTAGCGCTGCTGGTTCTGGTGGCGGTGGCGGTGGTGGACAGTGGGACACCTACAAAGAACGTCCTGCATATGAACGTAATTCATACAACAACTCGTCCGGTGGCGGCGGTGGCGGAGGCGGAGGAAGTACAGCCGCCCGTGGTGCTGGTGATGGACAGTGGCGAGACGGAAAACATATCGCTGGACCTGCTAATTCACGTCTAGAGCGTGAGCTTTTTGGTGTTGCTGACGACCCAACCAAGCAGCAAACTGGTATCAATTTTGAGAAGTATGACGATATCCCAGTTGAAGCTTCAGGGACAAACGTTCCAGAACCAGTTCTCAAATTCAACAACCCTCCACTTGATGATCATTTGTTAAGAAACATCGAGCTAGCTCACTACAAAGTGCCGACCCCAGTCCAAAAATATTCTATCCCTATTGTTATGGGTGGTCGCGATCTAATGGCTTGTGCCCAAACCGGTTCTGGAAAGACAGGTGGTTTCCTGTTCCCTATTTTATCGCAGGCATTCATAAATGGCCCATCACCTGTACCAGGTGGAGGCGGTGGAGCTAACTTTGGTCGTCAGAGAAAAGCTTATCCAACTTCTTTGATTCTTGCACCAACTCGCGAGCTCGTGTCTCAGATTTACGAAGAATCACGAAAATTTGCATATCGATCATGGGTTAGACCCTGTGTTGTTTACGGAGGGGCTGATATCGGATCTCAGCTTCGCCAGATTGAACGGGGCTGTGACCTACTAGTTGCTACGCCTGGTCGTCTTGGTGACCTAATTGACCGCGGTCGTATTTCATTGCACAACATTAAATACCTTGTATTAGATGAAGCTGACCGTATGTTGGACATGGGATTCGAGCCACAGATAAGACGAATCGTTGAGCAGGAGGATATGCCAGGTGTTCTAGACCGACAAACTCTCATGTTTTCCGCAACATTTCCCCGCGACATTCAAATGCTCGCTCGAGACTTTTTGAACGACTATGTATTCTTGTCAGTTGGACGGGTAGGATCTACTTCCGAGAACATCACACAGAAAGTTGAGTATGTCGAAGACATGGATAAGCGATCTGTTCTTCTTGACATTCTACACACCCATGGTGCCGGTCTTTCATTAATTTTTGTTGAAACTAAACGAATGGCAGATTCTCTATCGGATTTCTTAATTGGTCAAAGCTTTCCAGCTACTTCAATTCATGGTGATCGTACTCAAAGAGAACGTGAAAGAGCATTGGAAATGTTTCGCAATGGACGATGCCCAATCTTAGTCGCTACAGCAGTCGCAGCCCGTGGTCTTGATATTCCAAATGTTACACATGTCGTAAACTACGATTTACCCACTGATATTGATGATTACGTACACCGAATCGGTCGTACTGGTCGTGCAGGAAATACTGGTATATCGACTGCATTCTTCAACCGTGGGAATAGAGGTGTCGTTCGTGACTTGATCGACCTATTGAAAGAAGCCAACCAGGAAGTACCTTCTTTCCTTGAAAATATTGCTCGCGAAGGCTCCGGCTTTGGAGGCGGTAGCGGACGGGGAGGTCGCTCTGGTGGAGGCCGAGGACGCGGTGGTGGAGCTAACCGTGATTTCCGAAAATACGGCGGAGGTGGTGGCGGTGGCGGTGGAGGTAGTGGTGGAGGATACGGGGGTAGCGGAGGTGGAAACTTCAATGGCCCACCTGCTGCATTTGGATCCGGGCCTTCATACGGAGGTGGTTCCAGTGGAGGTGGCTATGGTGGTGGCGGTGGCTACGGCAATCCATCTGCAGGAGGTGGCGGTGGCCAATCATGGTGGTAAGGAAATTCAAAAGGCGCCTTTCGCTCTTCGGACCTCTAGCCCCCTCATGGAACGAAGTTCGACGACAGACGTCACCAGAGTTTCAACTTCTGGTCACACGATTTCCTTTCAACTATTTGTTTTATTATCTCCTCTGGGTTTTTATCACTCGTTTTGCATTACCTTGATTTTTACGCAGTGGCCTATTTCAACAGAAGCTGGAGCCTCTCACAAATTAACCCGAACTCATAGATTTGGTCACGACTTGAACAGCTCACAATTGCTCCGCGTTTGCATATTATCCTAACATATTGCTCCTCACTCTTGATACCCATTTGGATGATCGACATAAATAAGCACACCAGCATGAATATGTTGCTTTCACTATACCGGTCAACAATATTTCGAGTCGTGATCTGAAGTGAAGAGGCACAATTGGGCTAAGGAAAGCATTTTGAGGGACTAACACCTTTTGAGAATGATTTTGTGCTGTTCGAAACGACTAAAAGGATTGGAGTCTGGACTTAGAAGGAATATCGTCTCTCACAAAGAAAATTATCACTACGGAGCGGGCGGCCTGGATTGAAAGATTCTCAGTGGTATTCTTGGCATGATTTGGCATGTGCGAAAGGATCTCGGGAATCGTGTGGTGGATCTATTTACAAATTTTTATCTGGTGTGGCGTCAATAACAGGCATGATCCTTCATAAAGAAGTGCAATGCCTGTGCTTAAAAGCTGATGGCATACGGAAGTGCTCCAGTCCATTCATGCTGGGCTAAGGCAGTATCTAGAATAACATGACGATGCCTACTGTGTGGTAGAAAATCTGGGATAAGATAATCCAATAAAGTCTATTTACTTCATTTTAAACTTCTCAGACACCATGACTTTTGATTTTGTAGATGAAATAACAACATTGCTATGTCTGTTGGTCAAAGTTAAACGTAGTTCAATGTCCGTAATAGTATTGGTTGAACATTGCATGCTCTGGTATAATGACTATCGCAGGAATCAGTAACAAAAGTTCATGGAACCGGATCCTGAGATCACCGACAAAGTCAAGGTGAATCGATTTCGCCTCAATAGGACCTAGGCTTTCAACGCGGTGTTTTTGCCGGTAAAGTCGAAAGTAAACACAGACACATCTATAATCGGCGACTTCTGGTCAATGTCGGTCTTGTCATTCTCATGAGATTCTTCTATCTTAATCCTCCACACACCATCTCGCCTCTACGACCGATAAAGGCGTCACTCCAATAGCAGATAGAAGCTTGCCTCGTTAGTTACCGACCATCACTCACTACACATTTACGATGTTATGTATACCTGCAAGGAGTAAACTGAGTCATAACATACAAAGTTGGGGTCATGGTTTATGGAGGACTGTTGCTCTAACGGGGTTACACATCTTGAGGAAAGACAGGCGGTTGGGGCGTGGAAAGAGATAAGAGAGCTCTTGTGAGAATTATAGGTCTGGTATTTTCGAAATGTTTTTGACTATGAAACGTTTGTGGGAGCCAGGACTTCTATTGTCGATGAGTCAACGGCACTCCCCAGCGCCCTGGACGGCACAAAAAAAGTTGGGCTAAACTACCATATAGCGATCACGCCCTGTCAAGACTTTTCTGATATTTCACTACGACCCTCGGAAAGGAGTTGAAAGGAGGCTAGAAAGGCAGAGAGTAAATTTCCCGAGGTACAAACAAGTCTGCAGCGCCCAGCTGGCCGGCCTCTTCGAACACTTCAGAAGGAGCACTATGTCTTGGGTTTTAGTCTTAATGTCGGTATTAGGAGAGCCCCGCACCTAGTGGTTTTTGCGATTTTTCCCGGCTGCCATACACCCGCAAGCAAACATCGATTCGTTGGCTGGAGAGGGGAGATAATGAAGGGCAAAGGGCTCCTCTTAGTGTAAGATCGAATGAGGAATTGTGAGTGGCAATACTGTTTGAGGGGAGCTGTATGGGAGGCATAGGAGGGGATATACTACTGGTATAGGTATCCTCGGCCTGTAGGCAGAGAGGACTTGCATGTCTTACATAGTCATAGACTCGGGCAGGACAATAAATTGAACTTCAAAAAAAAATAGCGAATTGTCGTGAGTCGTCGAAACTTTAGCTGTTACCTGTCAGGGTAAAGGTTACAGGATAAAATGACGAGGCCTTATCTGGTGATTGAGATTGTCCACAAAGAGGAAAGTTGACTCCAATCAAGTCTTATAAATATGTTTAGCTCTATGTCTACCACGCACTAGTTACAAAGCCCCCTCCCTTGACATTACCTTTTAGCCCCACAACATTGACGGCGATAAAGTTCGAATAAACCCTCGCCTTCGTCTAGCCTTTTAGCTTCCAGGTCTAAATTTGAATTCGATATATACGTGAATCCTATTTCGAGCATGGGCCTATCTATTTGTCATTATCTGCATGAGAATCAAGCATGAAGTAGCTGAATAAAGTTAGCAGGCTTGCTTTGAAAAAGCTGTGGCCTGGCGAATAATATACACAGAGAAACCAACAGATTTCCGATTTGTCTTCAGGGGTTGGAGTTGGGCGATACTTCGACAGCCGAGAAGTACTTGTTCCGGATATTATGTTTACTGTTGATCAACAACGCCATGGAGATGACAATATCGCATTACTTAGTCGTTGATCTCGCATCAGAAGGGCTCACGTGAAGTGAAATGACCCAAATACAACTTTTTTTGCAATAGATTTTGATTGCGTATGCAGTTATCTAGCCATGATACAATATCGGGGGAAAGGAGCAGAAAAGATAACTCAATGTACAAGAAGAGCACTCATGCGTCAGATTTTATTTGCAAGTACCGATGCGAAGTTATGCCGGCATTTCACCTCAATTCAGCCCTCATCCGTGAATGCCCACCGAGGGGAACGTCTCACAGACCCTAATTTATGCAGAAATACTTCCATCATCCATTAACTTCTCCCCGCGCGAAATGGAAGGAGGCGTCTCCTCCCCAAGTAGAGTAGGAGCTCAGGCTACTCAAACTCTTCCGGAGATCACCACCAGGAGGCGGATCACGGTGCCTTCCATCGTTGGCTTGTGTTTATAGTGTCAGCTGCACTCTCGCAAGCGAAGTCTTGGCGCGCTCAAAGCTCAACTTGTAAAACTCGCCAGATTCTCAAAATCTCATGCCTATCGAAGTTATAGTCATACTTTGCATCATCTTGCGAACTTGTCCCGGTCTCTCTCACGCTCATCCCAGGGAACAGTCTCCCAGATTTGTCTACCACGCTCTGCTTCCTCCTGCGGGTATAAATATCGGCGTGGGCGTGTATTTAGTTATCAGCTAAGGCTAGAATAAGTCGACGAGAGGTGTAGTCATTGGAATGAGGATGTACTTGATCGTACTTGTAGACTAGAGACCTAAGTAGGAGTCGATATCGTTGAGAGTGAAAAAAAGATGTGGTGGAGTAATTTGAATCATTGACTCGTGGGCTAACTTCATTGGTATCACGAAATTTGACTGAACTTGGACCTGGGAGAATATTTCACTGCCAGGCTCGTAGAGGACACTTCGTACAGGTATTCAGTCTTGCCCTCTGATACAAGTATACTGATCGTATGAAGAAATGGCATAACCCTACATTCAAGGTGTTGTTTATTTGGGATGATACTTATGTTGAAATTGAAATCAGTTGAAAACTGATCTATTTGTCTCTTTTTCTCTTCCCGAGATAGAGTTATTCAACCATAAATATCTTAGTCATACAATTTGTGCAGATGATATCAGTTGGATGTAAAATTTCTCACATACGAATGTGGCTCAAAATTCAGTAAAGAGGTCACTTTGGATGTTGTGGCTCACAAGGCTTGGATGGGTCGGGGTTTTGAGAGATAAGCTTCCAGCTCATAGAATGAGATACTAGATTCTCACGATCGTATTTTACAAGTGCAAAGCTGAGTGAAGCTGTGTGTGTGTGTTTATTGTACTACTTGAGTCTATCACTATCTAGCACATTGGGCTCCTCTATGATCCAGGCCATACCATGTACAGTTCTGCTGTCCTCTGTTATGGCGACAAACATCATCGATATATTGCCCATGACTAATAGCTATTCAGCTCATTATTTACCTGGGGAATTGAGCCACATTTTCCAAGGAATCTTCTACACAAAATAATAAAATGGTAGCAATGGAAAATGCGTGTGTAGTAAAAAAGTCTCAAAAAACCTGCAGGCCCAGCCAGGCGAGGCCTAGACACCGGAACCACATGAAGTGCGCATATTGAGCTATATCTCCCTTCTTTGTAACAGCCGAGGTCGACTTGATCCAATCCGCCATCTCCGTATCGGGTGCTAGGTACGCTCTGGGAACCCATCGGATAGCTTTTCCTCCATGATCAAGGGTTGGTAATGAGAAGAGCTTTGACCCTACCATCTTACCTGATGATGGTTAGCTTTACAACAATGGTGATAGGCGTTCGTGTTGAGAGATGAAGACGGTACAGACCAAAGAAGCGATTGAGAATCCTCATGGAAGTGCGCACGTTTTTACTCAATCTCGGCTCTGCAGACTCTACTGTGAAAGCTGGAGGTTCGTAGGGGGCACCACTGAGAGTTGTTGAGGATAGTCACCCCTAGCGGAGCTGATTGGCTAGGATGAATAGGTGCTTAGTTAAAACAACTTCTTGGCGCAATAATGTCTGTAACTTCTGCTTCATTACCTCTTAGAATGGTTAAGTCGCTTAATGAAGATGGTCTTTCAGGCCTGAAATTGTTTGCCACTAACGCTTATTTATTCGGGTACACATCACTAGATTCTAACTGCTTTACATATAGCTCTTTGGCGTGACGCATTTTCCTCTTTTTCTGTAGCGTAGGTAGAAAGCAACCAATCCAATAACTGTAAACAAGATTATTCCTACATTTAACAAAGAGTACGTGTTCTTCTCGGTGTCACCTGAGCTCAAAGTCACCCGGATTTTAGCAGTTTCTGGAGTATTGTTGGTATTATCTTCTCCCTCTCCGTCTTGGAACTCGGCATATCCAAACTCATCTATTAATGGCGGAAGAATCAGCATGCCGATAGATTGAATCGTAGCGAATGAGGATTAATCGCTTAGAGTTCGACGTGAATACCTTCTTCTGCTACAGGCAATTCTCCACATTTAGCTATTTTGATAGCTTCTTTTGGCCTTTCACCATTTTTGGGAACATCCTCGATTTGCTCAACTACTTCGTAGCCTTCCATAACTTCTCCAAAAACGACATGTTTACCGTCAAGATAACTAAAGAATGTTAGTGAATTAAAAAATTTTAAAGCTTAAAACTTACCCAGGGGTGGAGGTGGTAATAAAGAATTGAGAGCCATTGGTATCTTTTCCAGCGTTGGCCATAGAGAGAAGACCCTTTCGAGAGTGTTTCAACTTGAAGTTTTCGTCGGCGAATTTATCACCGTATACTAGCAATTATTAGAAATGAGCACATGCATCTTAGTTTCGTGAATTACGCACTTGACTTTCCACCTGTACCGTCACCCTTTGTAAAATCTCCTCCTTGTATCATGAAGTTCTTGATGACACGGTGGAAGATTGATCCTTCAAATGATAAGTCGCCTCCTTTTTCGCCGGTTGCCAAAGCTCGAAAGTTCTCTGCTGTGATTGGGACAGTACCACCGTAGAGACCAATTACTATGCGTCCTAGCTCTTTATCCCCGTGGAGAATATCAAAATATACCTTGTTAGTGATTTTGGGTCCTTTGAGTGCGTTGATAGATTGCGTCCAAAATACTAGCCCAACTACAAGGGCTAGTATAACTGATAGCGGTGATCGGTAGTTTACAAACATCCTGAGCTCGTATTGTGAAGTGTTTGGATGCTTCAATCTGTTCAGGTGTAGGGGATGGCATAAGACATTATATGGAAATAGGCTGCTAGCTAGTCTATTTCGAGCCTAGCTTATAGAGACGAATCATAATAGACACATGGTCTATTACATCTTGGTAGTTAACCTTGCGCTATTAAGCCTAGGCCTACGCAGATGAAACAAGCCACTTTGACGATCACAAAATTGTAAAATGTCAACACTTCCAGCAACTGTTTGTGCCTGTTATTCTTGCACTTTGAACTTCAGCTCATAATTTCTTGTGTCGCCATCACGTTTTTTAAGCTTTCTAATTCTCGTCACAGTAAACCAGCCTTTGAAAATGTATTTAGCTGTATCATTAGATCAGAACTCAAGTCTCGGGTTCTCTTTTATTTGGGAGAGATATTGATTTGTCAATACTGGCTTGTCTCTAGTCTGGCTGGTTAGCAGCCTGTCGTACTTTCCTGGCAGTTTATCCGAGTCGCGTAAATCTTACTTGAAGGTCTGGGCACCATTTCTACCTAGAGATTACATCTTTACTGTACTGAGTGGTACGGGCAGATCTACAGTATCTGAGATACTGAGTGAAAGACGTGGCGTTAAACTTAATTGTTGCTGGAAGCGGCAAGGGCTGGCTTTAGCACTATTAATTTCTATCGTGCAATGCCAAAAATGGCACTATTTACTCAAACGCACTGCGTCACTGCTGCTTTTTATCAAGTACAATGAGGATAGTTATCGTAACGCACACCTTCCAACAGGAATTTTGTCCATTGCCCAAAAACAAGGGGCATCAGTGTCCATTCTTTGACTTCAGTCAAGAAGAGAGGAGATCGAGGTACAAGGTTTGACTCTAAGCATTAACAAGACACAGGTAAATAGATTTCAGGATATTTCTCAAGCCTAAATGACAATGAAGCGTAATAAGGCTCATGTTTGCATAAATAAGCTCCAGGATCGGCAAGGATCGGGGCAACTCAAGCATATCATAGAATGATCGAGGTACGATCATGGGAGACTTGGGCAATATACAGATATCAGACCACGTGATTTAGGCCGTTGGGATAAGTGAGAACCTTGTCGGTTCGTAAACTACTCGCTTCTTCCAGACTACAGATATTGTTTCGCATTTTAATGTTATCCAACGTGACACCGCGAGAGGTAGGCCGTTTTATGAACCTTTAGCAGAACAATTCTTTTTAAGTTGGCCCTTCAAACTTTGTGGTGATATGTGGCTAATTTATTTTGTATTTGTAAACGATTTTATAAGAGAGCAACGTAGTTGTAGTCGATAGTTGTGGTATCAAGACTATTAGGACACAGTCAGGTAACCCACAAAATTGTGAGAGACACATAGAGCTTATTTGTTGATGATTATTTGCATAGAAAAATAATATAGGATCTCTAAATGATTCATTAAATGGGTGCCATTGCAAATATGCCTTGGAGTGAACCCCGGGAATAACAACTTTCCTCAAGCGTCAGTACTTGTCCTAGGGGTCAATGTCAAAATTCTATGAAGGACCCAGGTGGCCATGATTACCACTATCGCATCCTTTCTGACTTTCAGAACTGTTACTCTAGAGGCTCATTCATTCTAATGCAGGAAACACGATACTGCTTGGGAATTTGTCAGCTAATTGTCATTCATCCCTATACAATTTCTACTACCGTAACCCAAGTTTTAGGGGGGGGTGAAACTTAACACCTATCAGTGGTGTCCCCTGCGAACCTACTGCTCTCCCTATTAAGCCTCCAGAACCAAGGTTGAGTAGTACCTCTGTTTTCACTTTCTTGAGGATCCCCAAACGCACTCGTGGTCTATATCGCCTTTATCTCTCATTATAAACTCCTTTCATCATTGTCATGAGGCTAAACACCACCAGATCGGATGGTAGGGGAAAGGCCATCCAATGAGTTTTCCAAAACATATCTAGTCCCCAATACGGCAATAATGGGTTAGATCAAGTTGGACTCTCCTGTTACAAATAGGGGAGATATAGGTGGATATTAACGGAGAGTAAAGACTGTACACCTATACGTTGTGTCCTCTACAAACCTAGGAATGAAATTATCTTCCAGAGCCGAGTTCAGTCAAATTTCGAAATACCAGAAAATTTAGTCCACGAGGCAATGATTCAAGCCTCTCCACTAGATGAATATTCCACTCCCAACAACATCAGTACTCACCAAAAAACCAACAAGTACGACCGAGTACAACTTCATTTCATTGACCACACCCCTCATCGACTACCCTCCAGTCTCATCTGGCTGCCGAAAAACACGCCCGCCGATATTTGTATCTATCGAAGAACTAAAACCGTGAAAAAAAATGGTAGGCAGTTCTTTGGGATAGACCCGAGAGAAATCATCACAGGTTTACAAGATGATGCAGAGGATGGACACTATCTCGACGTGTGCGAGATTTGGAATTTTGACAAGAAGTTTTACAAATTGAAGAGCAATGTTCGTACCAAGTCTTCGATAGCGAAAGTGCATCTCACACTATAAAATGAAGTCAACAATGTAAGGTGCTCTGGTCCGCCTGCTGGTGTGATATCCGGTATAATTTGTGTAGCATGGTCACCTACTCCTTCTGGGACGGAGAAGCCTCAGGCCAAATTCCGTGCGATGAAGATTCAATAGATGATGGAGGCATGACTGGATAAGTCAAGGTTTTTGAGAATTTCGCCTGGGCGTGTATAGACGGATGAGGGTTGACTTGGGTTGAACAAAAAGCCACCATAAATTCGTAGTAGTACTTTCAAATGAAGTCTTGGGCATGAGTGCTCTTGTTTTATGTTTTTTTTGTTTTGTTCATTTACGTGCTAAGTACATGTCACAATCGCACTTCTACTGGAGTTTAAGCACGAGTGGGATCGGGCCGGTTCAGGTTAACTACCGTGAAGTACAGATAAACCTCGTCCCACTTTAATGACCAGACCACCTCAGGCTTCACCTATTTGTTGAATCATACCAAGCTTGACCGTCCAGAAACCCGCTGTAAACACGCCGGAGCGGAAATTCCTCCTCAGCCTCAGCCACCACGCGCCCGAGCCCTTGACATCCTCATTGACTCCGAAATATAAATGCCGTCCAAGAATTCATCGTTGCTCTAGCCTTGCACTTTCATATCGTACCGTTGGGTCGTTTTCGTCATTAGGGATTTGTGTAATCCCCTCGGTGTATCTTCCCTCTTCTTCCTCCTTTGTACACGTCCTGTTTCCATCATGACTTTCCTCATTAGGGCGTGTGTAGGTGAGTGATCGGACGGGTATGGAGATAGGTCGGATGTGTAGGATCGATTGAGAAATGCTTCGTCGCAAGTATAAAAGGAGTTTAAGAGATGTCGTGTTTTTAAATACGACCCCCAGACAAACCTTGGCCCAGTCGTGAATCGTATGTGATGGTAATGAGCTTTTGCTCGACTTTCTTGCGGTTGTGGAATCTCTTCCGACTAGTTTTTCGACGAAAATACTAGGTACAACTCCCTCGAGCCTGAAATCCGTTAAAAAGATTCATCCCACCCATTTTCGTGACTGAATCTCGGCTCTAGGAGAATATTTCACTCCCAGGTTCGTAGAGGGCACCACTGACAGGTGTCCAGCCTTCGCCCTCCTTGTTTTAAATTGAATCATCTATTATGTAAATTTTCTCTGATATAGTGTCAAAGCTAGATAGCTACACGCTATTCATATTTGAGGAAAACAATGATGGATCTACGCACTTGAAGTGACTCTGTTATCAAGGCCTCGCACGCATAGGACCGCATATTCTTTGGAATTTCTCTTACACGCGCAGTTTTGATTGCCACCTCTTTTAATGCCTACAGGTAGAAGGTTTCACACAAAAGGCGACTAAATTCTACTAACAAGTGGGGAACTTTTCTCAACACCTATCAGTGGTGCCCCCTACGAGCCCCCGGCTTTCACTGTAGAGTGCGCAGAGCCGAGATTGAGTAACAAAGTTCCCACTTCGATGAGGATTCCCAATCGCTCTCGCCGTCTGTATCTTCTTCATCCCTAAGCACAACCCCTCTATCGCCATTATCATAAAGCTAGCCACCATCAGATCAGATGCTAGGGTCGAAGCCCTTCTCATCACCAACCCTTGATTACGGAGGAGAAGCCGTCCGATGAGTTTCCGAAGCGAACCCAGCACCCGATGCGGCGACGGTAGACTGGATCAAGTCGGCCTCGGCTGTTACAAAGAAGGAAGATATAGCTCAATATGCGCACTTCAGGTGGTTCCGGTGTCTAGGCCTCGCCTGGCTGAGGCTGCAGGTTTTTTGAGACTTTTTAACAACCCACGCAGTTTCCATTGCTACTTTTTTTGGGTAGAAGGTTCGGAGGAAAAGGTAGCCAAATTCCACGGATAAATACTAAGCTGAATAGCTATTCATCACGGGAAATTTACCAATGATCTTTCAAGAAACATGAGAGGCAAGGAGAACTGTACAGGGTGGTGCCTTGTTACAATTATAAGGTTGTTTATTTATTTCTATTGTCAACTGGGCGAAAGCGAACGGTATTGCCCCATCTCAAGGGGGACATGGTGACTGCCATATAATTATAAGGTTAAATGGATGGAAATTGTGGTAGAATGTGTCATGGGATCAACTGCCCTTCTTTTTTAATTATTTAATCTTTATTCAGCTATAGAGCTATGACACATGATCGATGCTATGTATACATACGATCAACAGCCGTTGTTGAGCTAGTACCCCGCTTAAACACTTAAGTTGTCGGTCGGTTATATACACCTGTACGCGTACGCAATGGATCTCTCAATGATGTGTCGGTTCTTGATGTTCTTCTTAGATGCAGGTGTCTCAGCCTTAGGGGTGATACGGCGAGCTGCTTGATGGGGGACTGATGCTCTAATGGGATTACATATCTTGAGGAAGGACAGGCGATTGGGTCGTGGAATGAGATAAGGAAGAGACCTCTTGCCCCTCTCGTGCCTCAACTTTGCCATCTGTCCTGCCTCGAGTTTTTTGCCCCATTAGAGCGATAATCTCCCACAAGCCAGGACCCAGGCTATGACTATTTTGACTTAATTTTCTCCTTATGGCTATAAAACGCGTCATGAACTTGTAGTGGGATTTGGCTGATATTTAATGGGGCAAGCTCCCGTTTGCAATTGTTGCAGCTCCTTTATTGGTCGTTGAGGCGAGATGATGTGTGGTTAGAAAGAGGTTGAAGACTTTGATGAGAATAGTAAAAGTGGCATTATTGAGAAGTCGTCGAATATAGAAGTGTCTGTGTTTGCTTTCGACTTCGATTCGATTGCGATTCTTCTTGGATATTCCAGATATGTAGAGCATACTGAGCCATTAGACTGGCACCTCTGGAAGGTCAAAAATTCGTCATTGCCGGCTGTTACTGCAATATTTTACCTCTATTATTGTGTCATTATATTTACCTTGATCAAATTTGGTTTCATCGAATGCGTATCTTTGGGGGTGAAGCTAGCTCGGCCCAGTATCGAAAAGGCTTGAGCTAATTCTACCATCGAAGAATCGACGATGATGGTTCACAGGGGCACCGTTGACATGTGCTTAATTTTTGGTCATTGAAGTGATCAGGCAGGGGGTCACTCCCACTTTAGTCAAGGCGGATTACTTCCTGTGACGTACTACGAGCAGTGCTAGCCTTTGGGGCTAGATAACGCCTTTTTCTACACAACGTGTAGATAATCAAAGTTGTCTATTACTTTACAATTGAATTAGATCAATTTATGTGCATACTAAAAATTGTTAGCGACAGTTTTATCGCCCAACGTTGTTATCCTGAGCCCATGTAGTCCATCACGTACTTGCAACAGCTGTTGATTAAGGCTCGGGAACCACTTCTATAATGTAAGATTTTGATTAAATAAGGTCATGGCTTAAACCCTCATCAGAAGCATATTTATCACTGCTTTGTAAGAAAATTTTAATATGAATTTGTTTCTTTTGGATAGTAAGAATTGTCTACAGAGTCGTTGATAGAAAAGCTTAGGTATCTATAATATTAGATTCGGTGGAAAGCGCCCACCACCAAGGCAATATGAGTTTTATGACAGTACTTGGTTAATTGCTGTGAGATCCGCTTCGCACGCCTGACACGCACTAGCTTTTGTGAATATCTCTCATAGTCACATATAGTAATTTATCCTACTTGATTTGTGAGGATCTGACTTCATTTCTAGCACTACACCGCCCCGGTACAGAAGTCATGTTATGAGCTTGTGAAGAATGTTCTCCTAGAATTATCGGATAAAACCAATAACACGGACTCGTATATGACTCTCCACATTCATAAGCATCGCAAGCTATCCAAATGATCTACCATTACGTATGGCTTCAAGGAACATATGTTGAGGAATGTAAATATAATTCAATCGTCTAATTTTTCTTTTCATACCAAGCCAGTCTAGTTAACTGAGAAGTGCGCCTAACGACAGCTGCACAAAGGAAAACTGAAATTAGAGAATTTACTAAAATATCATGAAACTAATTTTAAAAGTTAAAAATTCCATTCCACTAGTTGCAAACGCTTACATAGGCTTTTTCTTTTGAAATAATGTCCGTACCTAAAATAATCCGACCAACGCCTCGCCGACCTAATAAGCTCGCCTCATGTCATTCTACACCTCAAGACGAAATCCCGACACGCTCAAGTTCAACTATAAATTTAACATCCTCAACGTTGCGGGGAATCTGCTTTCCAAACAACTATGAGCCAGAACAAGAGTGTAGCATTTTTGATAAGGATTCGAATTCCCATGTTTGCGCCAGGGGCACAACTTTCCACATACCCAACGAGCGGAACTGCTCACCAAGTCTAGTAAAAACAACAAGATCTGTGAGCGCAGGATGGAGAATATTATTTCTCTTTGGAATAGGTGTAGGCTATGGGCTCATCATTCAACATATCCACAATGAAACTCACTCCAAGCCCTTGCAAGCTGGTTGTCTCATTCAGTCAGGTACAAATTGGAAGTACCTGACCTTTTGGGGAATCTCAAGCTTAGGACTTGGTAGTCTTCTACCGCTATTCGATAGGGTATTTTTTGAAAATAGTAGTGCACCTTTGATAACCATCGACGGGCAGGACTTGAAGCTGAATGAATATACGAGAAATGAGACTAAGAGTGTTTTGGATCAAGGCTGGACACCTATTGTTAGGAGCATGGGTACATTTTTTGGAATCGCTTTTGCTATTGTACGCTTTTATCACATTCTCTGAAACCTTTATTGCTAGTCCTAATAGCACTTACTAACTTAGTCTTTCAGCGCAAGTCACCTTGGTCTTCAACCCTTCAGGCTTCTATAGCACTTTTTCTGGCAGATCCAGTTCTCTGGTATCTCATCGATCGTTCTCGTCCAGGCTTGTTCCTGTCTTTAGCAGTCGGCGCAATAGGCACTGCTCTATATATCATCTCCAACTCGGTTATTATGCTACCATCTGTTCCCTCCAATATAGCAAGGGCTGATGGTATGATCCAAACTTATACAACTATAATACCAGGGAAACTTACAATTGGTTGGGATATGAAAGACGGTCTTGACACATTAATTTGGGTTTTAAGTGTCTTATTCTGCAGTTGCATATGCTTTGGAAATATAGGACGAAGACTTGCGGCTAGAAAAAATTAAACCCTTACAAAATTGCTAGATCATTATCAAATAATGAACATTCGCGGTATCTAGTTCGTAAAGAAGAAATAAAGACTGTCCCACTTTTCAACTTTCTTGAAATTTGCGCTTTTTTCCCAAAACACCATGTTTTTCTAGATGCTAGAGTGCTATAGGACATGTTTCAAGATCAAAGCGATTGAAGAGAATCGATTGACAAGCTGTTTTTCATCAAACATCAGAATGATACTATGTACTAGCTTATATCAGCTTAAGTTTTTGGATGATATTTTTTTCAATTTATGTATGAGAACCCAATTACTTTCTCTTAATGTATATTGTATATGCCTCTGGTGATAAGGCTTCAACCCAGGAATAGCAGAAACTGTATGAATTTTTCGCTGTAATTAGGGCAGTATCATGACTGCACAGGGTTGGATAGTGCAGTGGTACACCATCCGGGCCGTTCTCCCAAGTGGATACTGGGTAGCTTGGTCACCCATCCCATACGAGACAGGAGAATACTAGTTCGAATCCAGTCAGACCCACACACCACACTCTCTCGCGGTGACATTGTTGTTGTGATGATGAAGCACAATTGGATAATCACAGGGTTTTTACGCTGTTCCCTGTGGTGGACGTGCACCGCAGAGGTTTAACGCCGTAAGGGTTAACCTCGAGTGGTGTCTGTAAGTGAAATCCGTGGCATGAGTGCGCTTCTTTCAAAATTGAATCATCTATTTTTCACTTCTCTGATATTGTGTCATAGCTAAATAGCTGCATACCCAATTAAAATTTGATGCAAAAAAATAAAATAGAGACATAGTATTTCCTATTAGATTCCCAATGCTATCTATTGGCGCTAGGATCTCTCACATTATTCCTCTCTCGCCTAGACATTGAGATATATTGGAACATCCACTTGTGTGTAGAAACCCAATTATTCATGTACATAGAGGAAGGTCCTGTCACGTAGATAATGTAAGAAATTCACACAATAGGGAATTTAAAACAACCTCCAGATTATTCACAAACTTGAGAATACCAGGGGATATCCTCAAGTTCGTCCATTGATCCAAGTCCGAAGAGTATAACCCACAAACTTCACTTCTATCAAAGCCAAAGCTATCTCCATCCATACCTTTATCCCAACGGTACATTATTCCAGATCAACATAGCCTTTCCATATTTTTAACATATCATAAGCTCAGCAATTACGCCCTTACAGCTCCACGCATGCTGTCAGCAAGGTAGTGTACGTGTATGAGCTTAAAACATATACACGTGATATGAATGCCAATCCAGTGCCGGCAAAGACGAATTCTTCACCTTCCAGTGGTGCCGGTGTAATCGCTCAGTATGCTCTGCATATCTGGGATAGCCAAGAAGAATCGCAACCGAATCGAAGTCGAAAGCAAACACATGCACATCTCCATTTGACGACTTCTCAACCATGCAGCACTCATCATTATCTTCTGAGTCCTCAACCCCGATCTAACCACAAATCATCTCGCCTCAACGACCGATAAAGGCGTCACCCCAATTGCAAACAGGAGCTTGCCTCATTCATCGCCGACCATCACTCACTACAAATTTACGACGCTACGTATACCCGAAAGGAGGAAATTAAATCATAATATACAAAGTTGGGGTCTTGGTTTATGGGGGACTGATGCTCTAATGGGGTTATACCTCTTGAGGAAGGACAGGCGGCTGAGATTTGGAATGAGAGGGGGAACAGGTCTCTGAAGACCATGCTAAGACTGATATTTTCGAGGAGTTTTCAACTTTGGATTTTTTGTGGGCGCCAAGACCGAGATTTAGGCTAATTAGCCAGGAGGGCTTCTTTTGTCGATGAGTCAACAGCACTCCCCAGCGCCCTGGACGGCACAAAAGAAGTTTGGCTAAGCTACTATACAGCAATCACGCCCTGTCAAGACTTTTCTGACATTTCAGCACCACCTTCGGGAAGGAGTTAGAAGGAGGCTAGAAAGGCAGAGTGTGAATTCTCCGAGGTACCCACAAGTCTGCAGCGCCCAGCTGGCCGGCCTCTTCGAACGCTTCAGAAGGGGCAATATGTCTTCGGATCTATTCCTAATGTCGGTATTAGAAGAGCCCCGCATCCAGTGGTTTTTGCGATTTTTCCCGGCTGCCATACACCCGCAAATGGCCATCATTTCGCTGGCTGGAGAGGGGAGATAATGAAGGGCAAAGGGCTCCTCTTAGTGTATGATCGAATGAGGACTTGTGAGGGGTGGTACTGTTTGAGGTGAGCTGTATGGGAGGCATAGGAGGGGATATACTACTGGCATAGGTATTCTTGGCCTATAGGCAGAGAGGACTTGCATGTCCTACATAGTCATACACTCAGACAGGACAATAAAATGAATTAAAAAAAAATGCCAATCCAGTCTTGGCATTACTCAGCAAATACCCACTCTCAATTTATATTAAGCTTTTTTTAGAGGATTACGTAACGTGCACCCAACTTTGTAGCTGTGGGTACCGGTAAATAATTGAGACTGTTATCGCTCGGGACTCACGATATCAGATTCACTGGGTGACCAATATCGAAGTCTAAAATAAGCAGAAGGTTGTCTTGCCTTTCTTCTACCGACTACAACGCTCTATATATATCCTATGCTATTGCCCTGAGCGGTGATCCCGTCTTCCCTAACTGGTGGTAAGAGGACGCTCGTATCTCGTCTCCAGCTCCCGATTATCTGCGCTTTAGGATCCTCATAACTATGACATATGATCGTTGCTATGTGTACATATTGAATGACACCTTTCACGTTAGAGACACTCACACTCTGGATTTCATTCGCAAATACCAATATGAGGTATGTGTTTGTGAGCTTACAGTGCTATTTGAGTCATAGAATATCTAGCACATTTGGCTTCTCTCTGACTCGAGTCACAACATATACAGTGCTTCTATGCTCCTTTGTTGCTTCAAAGCTCATTGATATATTGCTCGAGGTGAAAAGCCATTCGGCTCAATATATACCCGTGGAATTCAGCCAAATTTTCCACGGAACCTTCTACCCAAAAAAAAAAAAAAATGGTAGCAATGGAAACTGCGTGCGCGGGAAAAAGTATCAAAACTCCTGCAGCCCCAACCGGGCGAAGCTTAGGCACTGGGACCATATGAGGTGCGCGTATCAATATTTGTCTCCCTTCTTTGTAACATTGAAGGCCAACTTGATCCAATCTGCCATCGCCGTGTCGGGTGCTGGTTTCGCTCCTGAAGATCATCGGATGGCTTTTTCTCTATGATCGAGGGTTGGTGATGAGAAGGGCTTCGACCCTACCATTTGATCTGATCGTAGATAGCTTCTTGTTAGTGGTGACATGGGGTTTGTATTGACAGATGGAGGTTGGTGGGGACACCACCGACAGATGTTGAGGATAGTTCCCCAATACTGTCAGGTATGCCTGCTTATACAGAGCGACCCTTCTTCGTGAGTACCCATCAAAGGGACGTTTCAAACCCATTGATTATCGAAGCATGCCTTCTTTATCCATGGGCACTAGCACTGCAAGAAGTGTAGTTTAGTCTTGCCGGTTTCGAACCAGCTATCATCTGTCTCAGATTGGACTGGTGTTCAAGCTACCCATGATTTACTTGGGAGTACTGTACGAATGGTGAACCATTCACCATCTAACCTATCGATGTGGGTATGGCTGATCTAATTAATTGATAATCTAGGGGATGTTTATTAATCCCATTAAATGATAAATTGTCTTGACTGGGCAAGTTATCAAAAATATTGTAAATCGGGGCAAAAAGAAAGCAGAAGAGGCACATGACCTTACTTCTTCAATTGAGAGAAAGTTCATTATGGCGATGGTCTCTGGGAGTGACTATTCTGAACAGTAAGAATGGATGTCGAAGAATGTTGTTTTAAATCGGGGAATATGGTCGGAAACATCATCTCCTGCCATATATAACTCAAAATTGTTGTTAACAGCTGAAGAGTGTAAGTTGTCGTCTTATGGTCGAATTTATCTTTTAATAGACGCCTGGAGAAACGGGCAGATGGTGGTTTCAAATCGCGGGCGCTAAATGTATCCCAAAGATCTTCGGAGGCTCTAGCGAGGAGTGCAGCGTGGGCTATGTCGTTTCGTTCGTCGTACTTTTCTAGCTGCTTGATAAAATTTTAGATACTTAAACCCTTCATATAAACGGGACGGATTTCCTTGTCGACGCCATCATTTAACACAGACCAGTGTCAATCACCACGCAAAATGATGATGTAAGAATTATATCACAGACGAAAGTTGGATCGACCGGTAAGAATTGGGACGGTTGCATTGATGGTGTCGAAGTGTGTTGTTATTATTGTTGTTTTATTAAAGTCCTAAGCCAAAGCTCCAAATCCACTATGGGTACAGGACCGATGTTCACAGCCAGAACTACATCTAAGACATACCCAGCTTGATTCCACCGCATGAACCACCATAAAACCAGCAGTAAGTTAAGAAGATGCGCCGACGCGAACTTCTTTTCCCAAAATTGACAAAAGAAAAAGATAAATTGCAAATAAGTTAGAATGGGAAGCAATACTCCTCGCCTCGATTGCCATTTTGTCAGGTTTAGTTTCCTGACGAGTTATGTTCGATCTCCACTGAGAGTAGGAGATGGATGCACAGGAGAATACCCAAAACATTTGGTATCCTGCGCAAATTGTTTGAAGCTCTTGAAGCACTTAGGCCCGAGTAGCTTGTGTAAGAAGGCATTGTGTGACAATGACCCTCTGATTCGACGCGTGATATTTGCGTTGAGTCGACAATGTATGAAGTGGGTAGGGCTGGTTTCCTCCCCACAGATGCACTCTGTAATAGCGTGCGGATTGTTGAAGCGACGATGGTACGCCGCGAAATTGCCGTGGCCCGTACGGGCTGCAATGAGATGCCGTAACTGTAGCCTGGTAAGCCCCAGTTCTGGTGGTTTACGACGGCGCATAAGCAGATCTAGCTCACGATACCGTGACGGGCAAGTTTCATTCCACCAGCTG